AATCATTACTTTTTTAAAAAATGTTAAAATTTGAAATGAGATTATATGTTAGGATGAAAGTTCACTATCTATTTAAATAGCATTTAATTTTTTTTAAGTCTTTTTATTCAAGAACATTCAATATAAAACCAAACAGTTAGAAATAAAAAGTTTGGGCTAAAAAAATTTACATATTGTGACAGTTCTTTTGTAAAGTTTTGTTGATTTTGGTGTGAATTACAACCTCAGATATAGAAACTTAACAAAATTCATGAATTCAGTCATTAATTTTGTTCAAAGTTTGGTGAATTTTTATGAATATTGACAGACATACAAACAATTATTTATCCTCAAACCAGGAAAATCTACAAATACAGTAGTTTTTCTTATGAAAGGTAATATTAATTGTAGATGCAGACTTACGTATGTTCAGTGATTAGTACCTGATTAACAGTTAGTATATGTTATAAGTTTTCAATAATTGACATTGATGAACTGCACAATTGGCAAAAAAAAAAAACCCAAAAACCCACTTCATCAACTTGGTATGTCCAAAGCTCAAACTTAAAAATTTTAAAGTCAAGGAAATGCTTTAAAATACTTGAAGAGCTAAATGGCCAAAAGTGACAAGTAAAAAATAGCCAAATCCATCTAAGGTCAACTTTGCATGAAGGAGTTATAGAACCTTAGATTCTTAATCATTTTTTATCAACGGATTTGTTTAAATCAGTAAAAATGAGATTGGATCTCACCCCCCTCTCTTTTAACCAGTATAACCTGCAACTACCCCCCATTTTAAAGATGATACTTACACAAAGAAAAGATATATTTATATACCAGTTATATGTATATAATTAAGTATTTACACTAAATGAAAGCTATTTCTGTATGTGCATTACTCTGCTTCTGGTTTCAATTTAAAGAAGAGCAAAAAACATCTATATGTTTAATTAATGGAGGCTGTACAGAATTGATAAATAACACCTGACAATCAGGAATGCACCTAGAACTATTTTTATACACCTACTGGTATAAGGATTGGGAATATACCCAAATCTATAATTAGAACAGATATACCAGGAAGTTTTACCTTCTTTAAAGTCTTTGGAGGTTCTTATCTAAAGCTGGCGTTACCCCGTAGATGTATTTTTGTAACCTGTTTGTCATTTGTAAAACCAAGTACTTTTGGTTTTGTCAACATTGAAGTTCTGTGAGTATTTGCAGTTGAATCAATTTTGATATTGAGAAGGAACTTATTATATTGTTGAGGGGTTGATAAATTTTGAAGAAAGAAGAAGATTTAAAAAGGAAGAAAAGGTTAACAGGAAGGCTAATTGGAAAGTAGAAAAAAACTTTGCTTTCATTTTTTGTTCACCTGTTCTTGATAATGCATTGTAATTCAATATACACATTTCAGAGTTATGAATATTTTTTATTGTCTAAGCATGCATTTGGGGGAGGGTCAGATGAAGGGCTAGGATTTAGATAGTCTCAGATTATCAAGGAATAATAATGTTCTATGAACAAAATTTATGTAGGCTAAGATATCTGTTTTGGTTTCGAATTGTGTGGGATTTAACTCTTAAGGATACATTTTGTACAATTTCATATTTTCATAGCCTTCGACAGCTGGTAACTGAACAAATTCCTTGTTTACTTAAGGTTTTATTTCTTTCTCTTGTACTATTAACTTTTTTCAAAAGAGAGGGGAAACTTGCAATAATGTCAGTTTTTTATTTTATTTTAGAGAAAGTTTTTTATTATTATTAAGTAATAACAGTACTGTATTTGAAGTGTTAATACCTGCACTATCAGTTTGTTTTATGATGGTCTTAAGTATCTGTTTTACTTGCACTACATCAAATACAATCCCTATTCTAAATTATGCAATTCACAAATAAAATTTTCAAAATAAAACATTTGAAAATATCTCTGAATAAACTCATTAAAGATACCAGGTATATGATTTGGTATTCCAGACTCGTTTTTTCATCTACATTTATAAGACTCATCAGTGGAATTTCGAATCAAACCAGTTGAAAGGTCAAATCAAATATGAAGTTGAAGAAAATTAAAACCAAAAATTCCAAAAAGAAATATTGACTGTGATTGTGCATTGTTGTCACTATGACCGGACTATTTGGACTGTGCAGTGTGAAAATAGTTTTAAACATTTTATTTATTCAATTGTTTTAATGTATATTTAGGTTTTGCATTTATTTTATTATTCTGAACTTTGTTGTAAATTTAGGCATAAGTGTTTTACACGGATTATGTGTCATAATCTTGGACAAAGGACTTAAATTCATTTACTCAGTATTCATTTAATTATTTATTCTCTGTAACAGTTTAGACAATAATTTACTTATACGTGTCGGACATCAATTACTCTTCTAAACTATTGTTATTTCTATTTGGCATATGTTAATCTTCTTAATCCTTTAATTGCTTGTGCTTATAACAAGGAATTATTTGAATCTGGAATAATTTTGAATTCTGGAAAATTGATCAGAAATTTATGATGAAAACTAACCCAACTAAATAGGGTTAGCCATGCACGCATGGCTAAGGGGTGTTAGTTAGTTCATACTGAAATGATAGTGAAAGTAAAATTAACCTTAGCCATGCGTGCATGGCTAACCCCATTTAGTTGGGTTAGTTTTCATCATACATTTCTAATCAGTTTTCCAGAATTCAAAATTATTCCAGATTCAATTAATTCCTTGTTTTATATATATTGTTATTGTTTGTATGTTACTTTACATTTGGTTTGGAGTTTGTTGTTCTGTATTGCCGGATTGCTAAAATAAAAATTTGAGGAGCGAAATATTCCTTCTTGATTTCCATTTAGCAGGAACGCCATTTTACCCGGCTATATCACTATAAATGACTCTGACAGTCATCCCTGAAATTGACAGCAGAGTAGTTACTCAGAATCCAATAGAAAAAGGCATATTTAAATGCTTAAGAATACATTGTACAAAGAATCAGGGTTTTAAATTTTGATTCCCTTCAAGATAACCGTAATGAAAGAAGTGAAAATCAGGTCTCATAGGTGCAATTGACTTGATTATTTTTAACATATAATCTTCAAATTTCAGTTTCTAGTATTGTATTTATTTTCAAAGAAGTTTGGTACATTAAAAGGTATTAACTTTGTATAAAATTACATAGATAAGCCAATATTTTACCCCTGGGGCTTTACATTGGCCTTTTTCCTTTATGGTTCTATTCATTTGATGACAACATTGGGATTTTGTATTATTGATACTGCATGGTTTTATTTGGGCATGCCTGTAGGCCACTTGTAATAGTTTTGAAGACAGTATTTGACTTAATAAGACGACTTAACATTCAAATAAAAAAGAATATAATTTAAAATGGTAAATTGGGTTACTGTAAACCAACTAATTTTCGCTAGTAGTAAAATATAATGAATAATAATCGATAACATGTAAAACTTGAATTTTTCCTTATTTATATACATTAAGTAAATTTGAGAATTGCGAAATTAAATCACCACGAAATGGACTAGAAAGGACATAACGAGAAATTAAGTTGGTTTACTGAGTATTTCTTCTGAAGTTTTCAAGATATCTGCAGATTTTGATCTTGAATTCAAGGAAATGATATTAAATATGCTTTTATTTCAGCTTAATATTCCTTTTCAAAATAAGGAGATGTGCTATGTATGATTGCCATTATGAGGCTAACTATCCACTTCACAACATCATTTTCCTGGAGGGTTGGGTTGGGGGTAATGGGGCTGACTGTCAGTTTTGTATTTAAACTAACTTATTAGTTGAAATCACTCAACATGCTTTTTTGGTGAATATCCTGTAGTCTTTCATCATCCAGGGTGTGTCGAACACTTTGATCACTACTTATATTGTGTGGGAAGAAAATAATGAATTGTATTGGAAAATTAATTATTAGTCAGTTTGTGAACATCTAGCGACAAATCTTAGATCATTAAATCTATGCATATTCAAAATGTTAACATGCAATGGAGAGAAGCCCCCCCCCCTTTTTCCACCACCACCACCAATTATATTAAATAAAAAAGTAGATAAAAGATATGAATCATTTGTACATCAGTGTAGATGCAAGAACAAAAAGCAATGGAAATAAATTTGAGCTTTCCATTCAAAAGGGAATATTTTTATCTGTATATTTTATATATGCACTTGAAATTTGATTCTTAAACTTCTCGAATGTGAATGTTGGATCAGTGAAAAAGAATAAAAAAAGTCAATTGCAAATATATAGTGTTATAAAAGTTGAATGTAGAAGGGAAAACACAGTGAAAGACTGAGTGAAAAATCATGACGTGAAAAATGTTCTGTGTCAAAAAAATTGATCGTGAGAAAGATGAATTACAAAAAAGGAGATTTGGACAAAACTCTAATGTAAAACTGTTCTGTTGTTCAGTAAAGGATTGTAATTTGATACTGTGTTAGAAAGGGTAAATACCATTACACTGGAATATAGAGCTTTTCTTCACTCAATTATTACCATTGAATTTATCAGACGCTAGAAGTCCATAGAACTTGCTATGTTCATTTGATGAATATTGAGATCACTTTTGAAACATCAAAATCAACTCAACTTCCAAAAAAAAGGCGATAGAAGATGTAAATTTTACCACGTTAGACCGACACATGATATTTTAGTTTAATTTATGGATATTCAATACGAGTATTGTAAAGTTTTATTCATTTACATTTTTATCATAGCTTGCTGTCATTAATGATTGATTGTTTAAATATCGAATGGAAAGCTCACTATCTCTTTTAGCAATCGGCGAAATATATAAGAAATTAACAACTTATACATAAATGGAATTTTTTTTTTATAACCTGACAATAATGCTTCTTTCCCTATTTGAATCAGTGGTATGCTTGCCAATGAACTTTTGTGAAAAAACACCAAAAAAATCTTACAAGTTTATTTCCTGTAGATTCATATAAAATGTTTTTCAAATGATTGAATTTTAAAGACACTTTTATTTTCTTTTTCAGATTTTCGTCAATGTGATAAAAGAACTTTAGACAAAACTTGATAGAGACAACAACACTACTGAGGAAACACAATATTGTAGTTGATAAAGGGAGACAATCAAGATGGCTACCCTCTCGCTGAAAATCAGCGTTGTTGGGCAGAATGTTGTAAAGACGATGCAGTTTGAACCAAACATGCAAGTTTTTGATGCCTGTAGAATTATCAGAGACAAATTGATTGAGACTACTACAGAAAAAATAAATCGTAAGTCTTTTTGTTAACTTTTGAGATCACCCCCCGTTTTTTGGTGGGGTTTGTATTGCTCTGCCCAGTCTTAAATTTTCTATGTTGTTTGTCTTTTCGTGGTTTTAAAATTTTCTGCGTTAGTTTGTCTTCTACACTTGAGCTTGAATATCTCTTTGGTATCTTTTGCCGCTCTTTCACAAGAATCAACATGCATGAGAGTTTTTTTCAGTTTGTACTTGATTTCTAGATTTTGCCATGTATATAATATATATTTTGTCCTTATATATTCCCTTACCAAATATGGAAGTTTTTTTTCATTTCTTGGTTTCAGTACCTACTGTACTTTCACTCATGGAGTCAATCCCAAAGATAGCTAATGCTATTAATTTTGTTCCAAGTTTAAAAAATAAATTGACTTGCTGAATAGCAATATGACTGACTAGTGAACTTATACCTTGAAGATGAATCTTTTTTAAATAATCAGTTTTACAAGCCAGAATTTTGTCATCTTTTGACTCAGACTATGACATTTGGCATAATGAGGCCTTTCACATGAAGTGATGACTAAAACATTTCAAAAATGAATAACAGAATGTGATGTAAATTTTATTCAGTTTGAGATTTTTATTCTGAGTTGATCTAGAACAAATAAGATTTATTGTATCAGATTTTGAAACTGTGAAGTCGTTTATTTTCGTGGGTTTCAATTTTTGTTGATTGTGGAGAAAATTGTATCTTCGTGGATACTTGATTTTATGGTTTTTAAAAATTCTAAAAACAAAGATGAAAAACATTAGTATTTTGTTGAGCTTTAGATTTGTGGTTTCCCTTTACTTACTTATCCACGAAAAATTGGTACCCAACGAATATTAATGATTAATAGTAAAATAAACTTGTATGAGAAATTAATTAGCCATGAACTCAAGTAAGCAACAATGATATTTTAACATGTTTTATACATTAAAATCTTTGATGCCATAAATGATCATAACTTTAATATGGCATCTGTCTAACGTGATCGTAAGTTAGGGAAAATTACAAATATCATATATTAATAGGTCCATTTGAAAAGGCTATCAATCAACAGATTGGACCAAAATGGAATAATAACATAATTGGTCATTAAGTGGAAAATGTCAGCATTTGACTGCCTATCAAAGTTTGTCATATGTTCCTGAATAGATATCTGAAAATGTCATCCATGTATGAACTTTCAGCCATTCATAATAGCAAACAAAAAAAAATATGGTTCGCCATGTATTTTTGAAGTTCCTGGTATTTCATTTGTATGTTTCAATGAGTCAGGGAGGGATAATTTTTCCCTGGTGTTTGGAATGTGGACGATTTGGTAGTTGTGATTTCAAAGTGAGTGAAAAATTAAACTTTATATTAAATAATTATTCTATTAAAAATAAATTTTTCCATCATGACTATGTTCAAAAGCAGCAAAAAAAACTTAAGTCAAATTAGATATGCATTATTTATAATTGTGAATTTTTTCTTATTCAAAACCACCATGAAGTTCAGTAAACATTTGTTCCAAAAAGAAGACCTATTAAATTTGTCAAAATTCTCTAAATCATATTTTATTTGTACTAAAGAAAGGGCATGTCAGAAAACTGTTTCAATAAAAAATTTTCTTAACCATTTCAGAAATTTTTTTATTAGGGCTAAAATAAATTTATTAATGAAAGGGCATGTCTGAAAACAGTTTGAATAAAAAAGTAAAATGTAACAAGCATATTACTAATACTTGCTATCAAAGATTATATGATTGTTTACAGAAAACATTTTAGTGAAACCTTTTAAAAATATAATTTACAAAACGGCTTGTCAGTTTTACACTTTTTTTCTGTGATGTTTTATTTGATTTATTGTAATTAATAATTTTGTCAAAAACCATTGATTTCTTTATTTGTAAGGACCAGCTAGTTTTCATAGAAATGAAGATATCGGCTGCTCTGGTGTCAGATTTTGAAGATAAATTACATTTTCAATTAAAGAAGCAAGCATGTTTATAGTGTTTTATGGAGATGCTTAAGTAAGGCATCAAAATAGAAAACAGAATAATCTTAAATTTATTACCAGATATTAATGTCTTGCTTTAAAAATTTGTCCTGAATTTTATTGATAAACTCATAAAATAATAGAAAATTTTGTTCAAGGTAATGGCTCCTACTTTTGAAAGTAAGAAGACTGTCACTTGCCCAGTAGTCGACATTTTGTTTTAAAAATGAGAAATGCTAGATACTTAAATCATTTATAAAATGTTGAATTATTTGAAACACTAAGATTATTGCTTTCTAATTCCAGGCATAGATAGCCTATCCGTATATATGACAACTTTTTGGAATTTTAGGTTTTCTTTGCTTTTCGACTACAGTTGTGTTGCTTTTTTTGTTTTTAGACTTTTTCAGTTTTTGTATTTACTAGTTCTGCTTCCAAAGATTTTTCTTTATAAGGTGCAAAAGTTCTGTAGGCTGTGTGTTTCAGTTAAATCAAGTGAAAGATTTACACCAGGCTAAACGTTTTTCTATTGAGAAGAAAACCCATTACTGGTAAATAAATCTCACTTATTCATACTTAGGAGAATTCTAAAAATAAACTTGATTCAATATTTTCAGCTTATACCATTTAGCTGTCATTTTCGATAGGAAAACAGAATTGGATTTTCTATCGGTGATACTTCTTAATGTTAAAAGAAAAAAAAATTAGCATTTCAGTTCGATTTAACTGAAAAATATTCTGCTTAATTTCAACTTAAATTATCGTCAGATAAGTGGCATCTTACAGTGATATTTTAGAAAAAGAAGAAAAAAAAATATTTGTAGAATTCCTTTGTAAATAATTTTAAGTTTTGTCATTTTATTCAAATTGCAGCCTTCACAGGGAGAGATGTCAATTCCATGTGTGTCAGAATTTTATAATTACAATATTGTTACTGACGTTTTTGATTAGTAGTCATTTTCAAAAATAGCAACCGTGAAAAATTCCTCCGATTTTAGAAGTATTTGGAAAATTACAATGAATGATTGGCTATAAAATTATTTCTAAAGAGTCCAATAGATGAATTGGTGTAATTTGTCAGAAGACATTGCCTTATTTTCGGCCATCGATCACGTTCAGCTATTTTGCCAACATTGAATGGCGTAAGATTATTAATTTCTTGTAAATCAATATTGTAATTGGCTACATTAAAATGATAAAGTCTTTTATCGTGTAAATCGGGGGAAAAGATTCATCGTCCTAATGCAGTTGATACGATTTATCACTAAAACGTTTTATGTCTTGTTTAAACATAGTGTTTCAAGTATTGTCTTTGTTGATTGTATTTGTGCTCTGGAACAATTGAGAAATTGATATTTAAAGCATGTTTAGTTAGAGAGGAATGGACAGATTTTTATCTGTATACAAGATTTCCAATAGGCTGACACTTCACGTTTAGGACATTGCTATATGAGGGTCTTAAAAGAGAATCATAGGCAAAAAATACAGAATAAAAGGCAAAAAAAATAGAGAAAAGAGAAAAGAAGGCCAAAAAATAAAGAATTGAGAATAACAAGTTGCTTAAATATGAAGAATAGAGAATGATGGGCAATAGAAATAAAGAATAGAGAAAATTGGCCTAAAAAATTAAAGAATACAGAAATAAAGGACCCCCATCCAGACCCTCTTATATAACCTATACCAACAAAATCTACACAAAATGAGTAAATACCCCATTGAAAATTATTCTTCCCTAAAAAAATTACCGGTACTCCAAATACTAACAACATGAATGATCCCGATATAGACGCCTTTTGAAATATGTTGATTTAATTCTCAACTTTGACTGCAGGTGAATCAGGGTTTGTCTTATGGTTTTGGAACATATGATGACCAATAATTATCTTTTTTGGTGAAATTTGTTGTTTGGTTGCTGTCTCTTAGTCTAACATTTAACTCTCATCTTATTATTCTTGGATCATTATATACCTTTCAAAAAGTGTGAGCAAACATACTTTTATTCTTGGTGGTGAAAAAAGACCCATGTACCTACCCTGTAATTCCTTGACAAAAAACCTGAATCACATATTTTTTGGTTTGGCCTTGACAAAATTTCATGGTCACTATTGCAATTGCAGCAAATGTTATAACAAAATAAAGTCTAAAAAGTAAAACTTTAAGTTTTTTTTTATAATGTGCCTCTCTATTAAAGACATCGAAATATAGAAATGTTTATAAATGTTCATCATTTTAATAGCTGAAATACAAAACTAATTTGTTAATATTCCATATGAATGATATATTTCTCCGTTAACACTTTCTGCAATATTGATTGGTTAAAACTTGAAAATACTTGATTCCATGTCAGTTGTGAGTTTTATCCTGTATTGTATTAGGCAACAAAAATCTTTGACTTTTCCGACCCTATCATTCAAATTACATGCTTGATTATGCACGATTTGATTGAAGAAAAAAATTGTAGTCATGAGACCCTGCAGTTCTTTATTCAAATTAGATTGGTTGGTATTAAACCAAGTACCGCTATACAATTCCGAGATTGCATAATTCAACAGATAACGGAAGATCGGAACCAGAAATATCATTTATCGTAGATATTATTGCCATGAATTTGTCCTAAGCAATAACTGTTCAGTTCTCTGCTTAATTTAACACGGTGCCAATGCTGATTATAAAGTACTGGTGAGAGTTCTTTTGTACTATAAAATTAATGCTTAAAACTGTGAAAAGTTGTAGGTTGAATAACCTCTCTTCAGGCTATTGGTGATAATCAAAGTTTCAGATATTAGAGTTTAAGACAATTAGTGGAAAATCTAGTGATTGATTCTTTTAAGTTTGAAAAAAAAAGAAAACAAAAATTGGTTTAAAATTGAAGATAGGAATGTTTTAAATTGGAGAAGAGATTTTTGTTTATACATGAGATGAAATTATGTAAATTCAGAAATGTTTACATGTATTTATTGTGGTTGTTGAACAATTGTAGGATTATTTATTGTGATTTCAGGAATTGTTGCATACAAATAATCCTATCAAAATTTGAAATGCGAGTTTTTACGTTTTCTAAACCTATCCTAGCTGTCACAATTTTCATATAATAAAAACTTCACAAAACTTTCTGAATATACATTATTTATTTATTTTTGCATTATTATATTTTGAAAGATTATTTGTGGGATTGACATGAATGACATTTCGTCCCTTTCCCTGGCCTTATCTCAGCTACATTTATTTTGACCTGTCTATTTAGCTATCAAAGTTATGATAGGCAGATTAAGTTCAAGTTTCTGACAAGGATGTTCAATAAAAAATGTTGTGGCAACCCAACAACGCAAAAAAACATAAGATAGGGTCAAAATACGGTATTCAGCAATAAACAGGTGTCTATAGTGGAAAATCTAGTGATTGATTCTTTTAAAATTTTTAAAATGAAAAAAAAAAATTTGGTTTAAAATTGAAGATAGGAATGTTTTAAATTGGAGAAGAGATTTTTGTTTATACATGAGATGAAATTATGTAAATTATACTATATGCCAAGCTCTAATCTTTCCTAAGTCTTAACAAATGTGGTTAGGGCTGTTTTGATTTGACATGGTCAGGTCTTTATTTATTTTTTACATTTATTAAGGCCAAGTAAATTTAATAAGTAGATTTTCATCCAAATTTTTGAAAAAAATGGGGTGGGTGGGAGGATTTTATTTTTTATTTTTTATTAGATATGAAACGCTCTTGTGACGTGTTCTTCATATATGCAAGTGTAATAATAAGGTTCTATCATGTATATACATGTATAACGAATCAAACATACAAAGAAATGCAAAAACCAAAATTTGAAACAGGATGTTATTAATGAAACGAAATTATCGACAGTTACCGGTAACGAAAATGAACAAAATCCGGAAATCGTAAATTTTTCAAAATAAAAAAGATTGGGGCGGAACGATTTCAGAGGGGCGGGCGGGGATGAAAATCTATCAATTAATTTTAATTGGCCTAATAACATTCTTTTATTTAGATGGCCCTTTTTACATCATATTTGTATGACTCACATATGACAAAGTCTGATATCTTGACACTTAGCTCCATTAACATTTTTGGCGTTTGTGGGAAAAATTTTCTTTTCTTGGAAACTTCATGGTTTTAACAACTTTTGCATACTATACCTTACAAACTAAAAATATGGAGGAAATAAAATACAACAGCATCATTTTAATCATTTACACTGCTGTAATGAAATTCCGTATTTGAATATGTAACAGAGCAACGTGGAGGTTAAAGGTGCATAAACTTATGAAACTTGACGGCATCCAATTACACTTGACAAAACTTGTCTGACATCTTGGCTTCATCAAGACGATGGGAAGAAAAAGTAATAACTTTGTAAAAATATAGCAGCCTTTTCATACATTTTCTCACAAAATGTCACAGACAGTTTAATTTCCACTGGTACAGCCAGACTGGATAGACTATAATAGTATTGGATTATAAACCCCATTACATAGACTTAAGACAGAGGCAAATTGACCGTGTAAGTTACTAATTCTATTCACTTGATGTCATTTCTTACCATTTGGTTAAAAATTTCCATACTGGACAGTATTGTGTCTAGACCAGTGGCCATTTTAGTTCATGATAGATAAGAGTATTATTAGGCCAAGAATAATTTTTGTTTTACGTAACTCCAAGATTGTTCTTGATAAAGATCATTGCAACGTTCTTCTTGATCAGAATAAGGATTAAAAAACTACCAATGTTAATCATAATAAAATAACTCAAATTATTTGCAAATCAAGATGTTGAACAATTGGAAAACAATTTCCTGAATCTGAAAAGTCTATAGTCAGATGAAAGTCATGTGACACACCAGGTTTTCAGGTGTAAAACCTCCTATTTGATTCACATCTGTTGAAATATTGAAAACTACATAACCTTGCAATATATATAACAAAGGTAGATAACCCTGTAATATACATAGCAAAGGTAAATAACCCAGCAATATATATAACAAAGGTAGATAACCCTGCAATATACATAGCAAAGGTAGATAACCCTGCTATGTACATGGCAAGGGTAAATGAACCTGAGAATTTAGGCACAAATATTTTGTATTGTTTGTTGGAAACTCAGTTTGTAACAAATTAAATAATAAATTGACCTTGGGAAGTATAAGAATACAGAATAGTTATTCTTTTAGACTTTTCCTTCTTAAAATATCCTAAATTTGCTTGTATTTTTTGCTATTAAATGTGTTTTTTGAAAACTCGAAATGAAACAGTTAAAAAAACAATTGACATTGTCAAGTGTAAAACTAGTATAAGTATAATTTCCTTAATGTTTGAAAGCCTTTTGTGTATTTTTTGGAAGTTTAGACATATATTTTTAATGAAGAAAACAAATATTTTTTGTCTTGTCCTATGTTAGCATTGAATAAAGCCTCATGAATACTTCAGAATTGTTTTATGTAAATATAAGCTGTATTTTATGCATGACAGAGACAAATATGATCCCAATTTGGCAGATTTTCTTAAAAGCATTTATTGGGAATAGTTTTACAAAAACAATTGATTAGGTATTGGTTAAGCTGGTGTATAGTTAGATTGGAATACAGATGCAAAACTAGTCTTTAATGAGTTGATGTATTGGTTAAAGAAATCAGAGGTGATAGAAATATACTTTGTCCTTTTTCTCTGGACTGACATTATTTCTATTGTTTGTGATGTCTATTCTGCTATCTAAAAAGTAAAATAACAAAAATACTGAACTCCATGGAAATTCAAAACGGAAAGTCCCTTATCAAATGGTAAAATCAAAAGCTCTAACACATCAAACGAATGGAAAACAACTGTCATATTAGGCATTTCCTTGTGTAGAAAATAGTGGATTAAACCTGGTTAAATAGGTAGCTAAACCTCTCACTTGTATGATGACACCTTCTGTGGATTCATTTATTTCCGTTGGTACTAATTTTCATGGATTAAGAAAAAGTTGAATTTTTGTGGATATTTGATTTAGTTGTTTTGCCAAAGTCTCCATATATTCCCAAAAGAAAATTTGTAAATAGTTGAACTTTTAAATCTGTGGTCCCTCTAGCTATATCCATGAAATCCAGGAAAATTGGTATCCAAGGAATAGAAATAAATCCACAGTTAATCCAACATCTTCTCAAATACATATTTGTATAAATACTTTACTGAAAAATGGGTCCAATTTTGCGTCAAGGAGTCATAATTTGAAAAGTAATAAAATATATGTATAAACTAATCTTATATGCAGAAAAAGATTAAAGTAAAATAGGAAGATTTAATAGCTAGTTTTTTTTCGACAATAATCATTTTTAACATAATGATGAAACCACTAATTTTATGATGTTTTAATCTCTTGACCTTGGCATCTGGTATTTTAATGATTTAATTTGTGCTTGTTAATTAAGTCTACTTATGGCCAGTGGATTCAGGTTCAGGAAGAGAAACAATTTACTTCCTGTTCTCAATCTTAACACACCCATTTACATTCACAAGTATAGCTTGATACTGTTGGTAGATTTAGAAACCTCAAATCAAAAGCTTTATTTTGATTTAAAACTTTAGACATCTTAGAACTCTGCATTTAACACTTTTACGACTATTGATTACAATAATAAGAACATGCAGCTATTCCAATAAAACATCATGATTATATACTTAATATTTGGTGTATATCCAAGACCAATAAAAGTAAAATATAGCTAATTGATGGGATGTGTCTGACAAGGGAGATTTACTGTCTGGGATTGAATTAGATCTGGATTCAGGACGGTGAACTTTGGATTTTTACGGAGACTGTTATCGTGTTGATATCTGTACCAATTTCATTTTTTTATTAGTTCAATATTACAGTTTATGATTAGATGAGTGGATCCAGAAATTTTAAAAGGGTGTGTGTGTAATAAGGGGGGATAGAGCCTAATTTTCCATAAATTTGAAAAAAATTGCAAAATATTCTCTTTGTGTAAATTTGATGTATAAGGAAGATCAGAGACAGAAACAAAAAAAACGTGAAAAATAAAACCTCGGGATAAATTTAACCTTAGATATCATGAAATTTATAACTCTGCAAAAATAAACCACTGCAGTATAGCATTATCCAGAGAATGGTAAAACGCTTAAGTTAGGCAATCATTTCCAAGGAGAGTCTGCTTTTGTGGACGACTGGTAATTCATGACACATATATTCAAAAATAAGAGTAAAAATAAATTTAGTTATTTATATTTTTCAGCTGGAGAATTTGGACTGTTCCTATCAGATGAAGATCCACGTAAAGGAATATGGTTAGAAAATGGCAGAACACTAGACTACTATCTACTAAGAAGTGGTGTAAGTCTTCTACAGCTCTCAAACAGTATAATATAATATATGTATTTTTTATTTGAGTCAGTCGTGTGTTGATGCATTCAATGTTTTGAGAAAACATCATACGATTCATTAAATAATTGAAACCAAAATGTCACCAATAAGCAACAAGTTAATTGTTTAAATTCATCATTCTTAGTTCATATTCAGTAAATTTTCAAATTCTTTTGATTGTTGGTTTATAAGATACTTTGAATTTAAGTATTTATTCTAAATGCACAGGAAGAAATGATATCTTTAATAAGTTATAAAATCAGAATTTATTTTCCTTCCTGTTCAACATTTGAAGTACTTGTAGAATAGAGATTAAAATTACAAAAATCCGGACTTGGACTCGTATAACATTCTGAGTAAAAAGAAATAAACACTTTGTATTGATAAGTCTGTTGAAGTGGTACTTCTCTTTGCTAATGTAAGGAGAGAGGTTTCCGTAACTACTTCAAATCTTCCTGATGCATTTGGAAGGTGGGATGCGATAAATTTATTTTTCTCTTATTTTGGAAAATTAATTTATTCAGAAATTGAAGAATTTCAACTGCATTGCTAATAATTTTTTTGTTATTTTTTGGTTGATTATTTTAGCAAGAAAAGTCTATCAAAAGTATAATGGGTATTTAAATTTTTCTAATTTACCCCCTGTGTCAGAATTTCGTGTGAAACAGATCATTACTGTATTCTCTTGTCATTTTAAGTTCACTAAGGAAGTGTATACTACATTCAAAGTCTTTATATTAATTCATATCGTGAAACAGCAATTCATGTATGGGAGTAATATTTAGAAATGAATTTCTTGGACATAGTAATAAGGGGGTAAGAGAACATGGGAATGAGGGGACGGGAAGCTGGAGTCAGGGCGGGAACCAGGTGAAGGGGAGTAAAAATAGGGATAAATAAGCATCTGGTTTAAAAAAAATGCATCGAAAACAGAACTGCCCCATACCTTTGAAATATGGACTAGCTCTTATACAATCTACATTACATAGTCACAGAATTTTGCTTGAAACTATCATACATCACAGCTATATTCCTATCTGTTATGTATCATTGTTTGTAAATACTGTCCCTGGGTAATTTCTGGTGTTTGTAATTCTATCACTGGTCTGTTGGACAAAAAATATTGATATAATAGAATAAATGTATGTTGAAATAAAGGGATAGGAATCAGACTGGCATAAAAATCAATTAGTGTGCTTGATCTTAGGCCAATGAAAATTAATTGATAGATTTTCATCCCCGCCCGCCCCTCTGAAATCGTTCCGCCCCAATTTTTTTTATTTTGAAAAATTTACGATTTCCGGATTTTGTTCATTTTCGTTACCGGTAACTGTCGATAATTTCGTTTCATTAATAACATCCTGTTTCAAATTTTGGTTTTTGCATTTCTTTGTATGTTTGATTCGTTATACATGTATATACATGATAGAACCTTATTATTACACTTGCATATATGAAGAACACGTCACAAGAGCGTTTCATATCTAATAAAAAATAAAAAATAAAATCCTCCCACCCACCCCATTTTTTTCAAAAATTTGGATGAAAATCTACTAATTAAATTTACTTGGCCTTATATAACAATTTTCTTCCATTTAAAAGCGAAAATGCTACCATTTGACTGGTCTGCTCTTAATGACCTTTAGGTTATTAGGGAAAGGCATGTATACTTATAACTTTTCTAGAATTGAAATATTGTATTGTAATATAATTTGAAAAAGTGAATATTGATAAATATATTATCTTTACAGGACTTACTAGAGTACAAAAAGAAACTGAGGATTTTACAGATCAGAACTTTAGATGATGCTAACAAGAAAATCCAGATAGATGACAGCTTCCAAGTTGGACAGCTCATGGTGACAATCTGTACTAAAATGGGTAAGATACTGGTTCTGTTTATATAGTGCAGGGCACCAGTAACAGTGACAATCTCGACTAAAATGGGTAAGATACTGGTTCTGTTTATATAGTGGAGGTAACCAGTAGTACTACGACTAAGGGATGTTTAACGACTTTGACTACCCATGAGAGTCCGGCACGGTCAGGAAACCAGTAGTAAGATACTGGTTCTGTTTACATAGTGTAGGTAACCATGTAGTACTACGACTAGGGGATGTTTAACGACCTTGACTACCCATGAGGGTCCCACGTGGTCAGGAAACTAGTAGTAAGATACTGGTTCTGTTTATATAGCGTAGGTAACCAGTAGTACTAAGACTAGGGGATGTTTAACGACTTTGACTACCCATGAGAGTCCCGCACGGTCAGGAAACCAGTAGTAAGATACCGATCCTGTTTATATAGTGCAGGTAACCAGTAGTAAGAGATACTGGTTCTGTTTATATAGTGCAGGTAACCATTAGTAAGAGATACTGGTTCTGTTTCTATAAAGTGTAATTCACCAGTAATAGTTTGAACAGTATTTCATCTGTTGATTTATTAGATTCCTTGACTGTATGAATAATGTGAACTTTTATACAGTACCATGGTCAGCTAGATTGGTTAGTTTGCTTGCTAAGTTTGTTGGGAAGTTTCTCAAGCATTACAATTAACATTGACACTTGCAGACAGTGACATATGTGGAGCTTCAGTCTGGTTTTAGAGAAAAATGATTGGATAAATTTTATATTCAAAATATTTATTCTGTTGAGAATACATGAGCAAGCTTAGCAAACTCAACTAATTAAACTTGTGATAGGCATGCTACTGTAGACATGCTCAATTAGGTTCTTATAATAATGTTGATGAGAAGATATTGAACATCTTGAATTGAGATTTTTCCCCCGTGGAAGAATTGAAAACTGCCATTATGACATCATTTGCTGTTTAGTTTCTTTAACTTTATCCATGTGTGCTAGTAAGGTCGTTGATGCCAAAAGAAATTGCCTTTTAGTGTCCTTAACTTTATCCATGTGTGCTAGGAAGGTTGTTGAAGCCAAAAGAAATTGCTTTTTAGTTTCCTTAACTTTATTCATGTATGCTAGGATCTTCATTGAAGCCAAAAACATACATGGGACCCAGGGAAAGCACTTCCAAATCTCAACTATGGGTGGGTGTCCTATGTTTGCCTCTATAGGTGGTTACCCCATTTTTAAAGTGCCTTCCATGGGTACTATATATGTTTTAATGGAACAGCCCTGTGTATTTACCTTTTTCAGTGTATATATTTTTTCATGTTATATAATATTTATATATTCTGTATTGTAGGAATATCAAACCATGAAGAATACTCATTAGTTTTAGAAATGCCGGAGGATGAGAGAGAGAAAACCTTAACATTAAAACGAGACAAATCCATTGCCAAAGATCAGAAAAAATTAGATGAAATGAGAAAAAAACTACACACAGATGATGAGAGTTTGTATTAGTTTTTCTGTGTATATTAATTTGTGGATTGAAATTTTTGTGTTTTGCAGACGAGATAGTTATTGGTTTCTGGTTTTATAAATTCAAATACCAGTCTTTTTTTCATGCATGAATTTTGAAATAACAGACTTTTGATAAATTTTAACTGGATATTGAAATTTTTATAATCATAGTCTTATATACAGAATGTATCAAACCACAAAAAAATCAATTTTTCCTCTATATCGAATTGAATTGAAAAATTTATTTAAATGTATTCATATTTTTGTAGAAAACTATGACTTAATTAAGCAAATACAGTGTGCACTAATAAAATGGTAAAGACTTAATGATTAAAATGTTTTCCAATTTCAGTGGACTGGTTAGATCATTCTAAAACTTTACGAGAACAGGGAGTTACAGATAATGATGTATTACTGTTGAGGAGGAAATTTTTCTTCTCTGACCAGAACATAGATCAGAGGGACCCTATACAGCTAAACTTATTGTTTGTACAGGTAGAGTATAATTACTGTGTTTTACATTATATGTGTGAAGGGTCAGTGTCAGAAGTTTTTTCCCAGAGAAATCCAATAGAGAAAAAAAGGAGTTATTTTAGGGACAATTTGGCTTAATCAAGGAAATTTTACATTTGTTCAACGAAAGTCACAGAATACTGTAAATTGTTTTATTTTTTGCTGAGTTTCTCGATTTCTAGGGCTAACCTTTTCATGAGGTTTTATTTTCGCATTTATCTTGTTTGAGACTTATTTTTCTGTAAATAGTAAATTTATGTGAGGGGATATAGTTTCGCAATGTTGTCCCAATTGTGAAATTAGCAAAAATAAAGCTCTGACAAATATCTTCCACTTTACAGTATAATCAGACACAAATATTGACTGGTAAAGTATTATCTGCAATATTGACATAAAATTGCAGGCTGAAAACTCACTACATTGGTGCAAAATGATTTTTATGTCTGTGTTACAAAGATCACACATTTTTGGATGGTGGAAAATATAAAATTTATGGAATTTTCTAAAAATGTTACCCATTTTTTTTTTTTTTTAGCAATTTCTGTAATTGCAAATGTGTTGAGCCTTGCTCTTAATACTGTTCATCCTCTCTGCTCGTGCAGAACCTTGGCTGTATAACATTAAGGTCTTTTAATGTAGAACAAATTTGACAGGTTGAGAAGTATACAAAAAAAAATAAGTTTCTTTTTCTACAATTGAGGAAAAACTGATATGTTAAAATAGGGAGATTATTGCCAGGATAATTAAAAAAAGATTTGTTGAAATATTTGATTTTTACTTGCAGTGTAGAGATGCAGTGTTGAATGGTACCCACCCTGTTACTCAAGATGAAGCTATACAACTAGCAGGGTTCCAGTGTCAAATTCAGTTTGGAAACTTTGTCGAGGGTAAACACAAACCAGGATTTCTGGAGTAAGTGAATAAATTTACCATGACAACCATTTATTTATTAGCCAAGATGTGGGTGAAAATTTTAAGGGTTTCAATCTATTTAACAACAATCTAAAATCATAGTAAAGAATGCCATTCCTTGCCTCACTCGGGGAGCTAACCAGTAATAGAAGTCCACAGCATCACTGGCAAAGAAAGCCAACAGAACAGTGAAAAAGAAATAGTTTTTCATGTTTAACTACTTGTCATCTAATTCTTTTAATAAATTCTTAATATCCAATGAAAAAAAGTACTTAATAATAATTTCAGGGGAATTTAAAAAAGAGACAGATACAAATCCTGAAAACCTTAAAAAAAATGAATAATATTTTCAATTTCTATTTGCAGATTAAAAGAATTTCTTCCCAAGGAATACATTAAGACCAAAGGAATAGAAAAGAAAATTTTTCTTGTAAGTATATGCTAACTATGAAGCAATTTAAAATGGTATAGGCACTTGTCTGTTGTTTATATCTTATGTTTACCTCTTTATACCCTTTTTTGTTGTAATGTGCTGTAGGGTAATACTCATTCTTGGAATCTGTACAGAGACCAATAGTTTTTTATCATGGTCATTTTGTTTTATTATGATTATGATAATATGGCTTGAACATATCTTTTAAACTTGAACACAATATCATCAATCATAAAATACAAGTCAAGTTCAATTTTGAGGGTTTTGACATTAATTGTAAAAGAGTTATTCCCCTTAGTTATCGTTGAATTTTTAATATTCTATTACCAAATTTTTTTTTCAGGAACATGAGAAACTGAGAAATAAAGGTTTAAATGAATTTGAAGCCAAGGCCAAGTACACACAAATGTGTAGATCTCTAAAAACTTATGGTATTACGTTCTTCTTAGTCAAGGTAAGTGGAACTAAGTACAAGATTGGATAAGATTTATTTGCATAACATTTTTTTTTTAAATGTTTGTTACCTCACTATTTATGCAGAGGACACGTGTTTCTGGAATGAACTTTGTCTGTATGCTCAAGATCAAAAATCTAGAAAGCCAAAAATATAAAATGTTTGAAAGCAAGCAAAATAACCAAAATACCCTAAAACAACAACAAAAGCTGTCTAAGGCCAACTTCCAAATGGAACTGTAAGCTTGGTTATATTTCAATTACATAAGTAATGAACTGGATATTTACTAATAAAAAGTATCATTTTAATCATACCAGGGTTGAAGCACTGTAACTACCAACAAATTTATGCAAATTATTTATAACTAATCACACATACTTTAGATTTGATGGCAATAAACTGCATGCTCTCATAGTTGTGTCTTCTTTATATCTATATTTGTATTTCTTTGGAAAATCTTCACTTGTTAGTAGGTCTCATTTGCACATAAAACAATTCCCATATTACACTGTGTTGCTACCCTTTATGTTATTTTGAAAAATCATAATGATAATTTGACTGTAACTAAATGTATCAAAATACAACTATGTTTTAATTGATTTTTTATGTTTTTTGAACAGGAGAAGATGCCTGGTAAAAACAAACTAACGCCACGTTTACTTGGTATTACAAAGGAAAGTGTTGTCAGAATGGACGAAAAAACTAAAGAGGTAAAAGTTTATTTAAGGTGGTACCTAACACTACAGGGAGATAACTCTGTAAAAATCAGCTAAACGTTTTAATTACGTTGTATTGTTAAGGAAATATTAAGCTTCTCAATGATCAAAATTAGTGTTTGTCAAACTGCTATATAACCAAAGAAATTTTTCTGATAAAGTGGTTGGTTAAAATTTTTATATTTTTGTCAAAGGGTCAAATTAAACATTTTGTCAAAATTTTATGAAAATTAAACGAGCCAAATTAATTTTAGTCAAGGTGTTGGGTACCACCTTAATCCCTGAGATTTTGAAAAGAATTAAAAATATTTAATAGAAGATCTATCTAGGACTTTTATAGCATCATTTATTTAAAGAATACACTAAATATAGAAATAATTGCATGCAATAATTAATGGCATCATTGTGCAGGGAACAAATTTATATGAGTCCAATTAATGCTATTTCAGAATTTGCTGCAACATTCCTAAAATTTGAACAGCATCCATGAAACAGATTATAAACTTGATACTGCTAATAATAAAAATGAAAATGAGAAACTTATATATTAAAACTTTTTCTGTTGTTGATTTCAGATCTTAAAGACTTGGCCACTTACCACAGTTAGGAGATGGGCTGCATCACCAAACAGTTTTACTTTGGTAAGAACTGAAATTTTATACATGTTTGTATAGTGACCAGTAAAATATTTTCTTTCTTGATTCAAGTTTAAAAGGATTATTGCACAAAATAAATTTAGTATGTTAGACCTTTTATATTTTTAAAGGCAACAGCTCATGCATGACATACAAGTTTTCCACATATCATATCTGTGAGTAGCCAAAAAGTTGTTAAGATTTTGGATGTAGGTAAAGGCAACAGCTCATGCATGACATACAAGTTTTCCACATATCATATCTGTGAGTAGCCAAAAAGTTGTTAAGATTTTGGATGTAGGTAAAGGCAACAGCTCATGCATGACATACAAGTTTTCCACATATCATATCTGTGAGTAGCCAAAAAGTTGTTAAGATTTTGGATGTAGGTAAAGGCAACAGCCCATGCATGACATACAAGCTTTCCACATATCATATCTGTGAGTAGCCAAAAAGTTGTTAAGATTTTGGATGTAGGTAAAGGCAACAGCTCATGCATGACATACAAGTTTTCCACATATCATATCTGTGAGTAGCCAAAAAGTTGTTAAGATTTTGGATGTAGGTAAAGGCAACAGCTCATGCATGACATACAAGTTTTCCACATATCATATCTGTGAGTAGCCAAAAAGTTGTTAAGATTTTGGATGTAGGTAAACAATCTTTTTTGGAAAGGAATTGGTTCCTATTTAAGGATGTTCGCTCCTCTGGGTTTTTGAATTTTTGTCAGATATTCGGAATCCCCTGGTTTTACCCATGTAGTGCCATTAAAAAATGTGCCCATTAACCCCCTACTTTTCTTTCCATAATTTGATTACATATAGTTTAAAATGTCATCTTTGAAAATGTTATAAAATCCTTGTTATTTTTTCATCGTTTTTGAAAGCAAAAAGATGCCAATGTTAAATGTATGAAAAATCTAGAGAAAATTATTTCCCGCCAAATTTTCAATGGCTTATATCTCGAAAACAAGCACAAGGACCCTTCATTTTTTTCTGCTTTTTTAGTTTCTTTATTTGTATACTATCAATTTGTATCAGTCTTTTAAAAAGCTTGTTATTTTGAAACAGAGTAGCAAACATCCTTAAGTTTGCCTGACCAATGTATAAAGTGCTTATTTTAGGTTAGTTGTGTCAATTTTGTTAATGAGGTCATAGAGAACTAACAACTAATTATTCTGTACTAGAGTGCTGATTATACCATACTATTAGTTTCTTAATAAAATTTATACAATTCTGAAAGGATTGAAGATTTTTTACTATTTTTGCAAATTCAGGGGTCCTATGAAGGATCTTATCATACCTTCTTTAGTATTTGACTTTTTCAGACCAATGATACATTTTATTTTCAGGATTTTGGTGATTACTCTGACAACTATTATTCAGTACAGACACAGGAAGGAGAACAGATCTCCAGACTCATAGCTGGTTATATTGATATTATACTCAGCAAGGTAAGTTAAAGGCTACATAAAGTCATTTTGGTAATTTTTTTATAAAGTTCTTGCTTTTTCTTTTTTCTTTTTTTTATATAAAGTTCTTGTATCAGGTGTCACAATAATTTTCTAATTTATGGTTATAGTCTGAGATATTACTGGACATGACTGATAAATTACTTTGACTTGAAAACTAATGATTGTTAGTTTGCCAAAGAATAATCCCTAATGCTTTTCGCTTGTCGTACTAAACTTGAAGGGGTGAAAATTGATATAGTTAATAGAGTTTTATTCTAAACAAGCACTGTAGACATGGAAATCATTGTCGTAGAAAATGGGTTGATGCATTTGAATTTCAATAATAAAACCTACAATCGGTCTGGCTATTAATTTAATATCCTCACGTCTGTTGGAAGTTTATTTTGGCAATAAAACAGTCTAGTCCTAAAGTAAATATAAGTTGACAAAGGAACTAGGACATAATCAATATAAAACCTATAAAAATATAAAATACTGGAAAAATCATTCATGGAACCAGGATTGGTCACCCACAGAATGATAAATTTTTTTCTGTGGATAAGATAATTTCATAAAATTCAAATGATAATTTATTGAGGTAGAAAAAAATTGCAATGTTTTCCGATTGATTTTAAAGTTGTAATACATTATTTTACAGAAAAAAGCCAAAGATCACCTTGGTATAGATGGTGAAGATGAAGCTCCTATTTCTGAGGATAATGTGGCACCATCACAGTAAGTTATTAGCTTATTACCAGTATCTAAAGATAATGTCACACCATCACACGATTATTACAAGTAAAAGAAGTAAAGATTGATAAATAATTGTTTGATTGTTAGTGTTTATAAAATAAGAAGATGTGGTATAATTGCCAATGAGACAACTCTCCACCAGAGACCAAATGGCATTAAAGTTAACAACTATAGGTCTCTGTACTACCTCCATCAATGAGCAAACCCATACCGCATAGCTATAAAAGGCCCCTAAATGACAAATGTAAAACAATTTAAACGAGAAAACTTACGGCCTGATTTATGTAAAAAACAATGAACAAAATACAAATACGATATACAGCAACAAATGACATAACAGACCATCAGTCATTAGACATAGTATCAATATATAGGTCTGAAAACTGTGATTTTAAGGCCGAATCTCCTATGAATTTTATTCACCCTCTATGGTCCGTAGGGGGTCAGTAGTGAACCGTATAACGAATTTATCCCACGAAGGACTTTTTCTGCTGCTTTTTGTAGAAAAATAAACCATGCAACACAACAACATCTATAGATGACGTCACCATTAACAGGAGATGTGACGTCATGAACCCCCTATGAAATTTACTAACCCCCTACGGATCCATAGGGGGTCACCACGTGACGGCGTTTAACCAATGACAACGTGATAATTTACCCGCGGTGCGATAATATGTCATGGACCATCAGTCATCAGACATAGTTACATTATAGGTCTAAATAATGTGATTTAATTATAGGGCCACCATTATCCAGAGAAACCAGGCTAAGATTGGTCATGCAGATGTTGGATCTGTTGCCATGCCAGCAGTATTAAGGGGAGCTAATACTGGACAATCCAGTTTTTCTGTAGGATCAGTGGGATCGGCTCAGCATAGTCAGGTGTCAAATGAAGCGCATGTAGGGCATGCTAATAGACAGGTGTGATATTTACTACTAACAAAATAACACTTTTCCCATTGGTTACCAAAAAAGGGGGACTTGATAATAGTTTTCTCTCTGTTTGGTTTTGCAAAACTTTCTACTTTCTTTTTGGTTTTGCAAAATTTGACTTTATTTTTGGATTTGCAAATTTTCTACTTTCTGTTTGGTTTTGCAAAATGTTCTACTTTCTGTTTGGTTTTACAAAACTTTCTACTTTCTGTTTGGTTTTACAAAACTTTCTTCTTTCTGTTTGAAAGCAAAAGTCAGGACTTGATAACAAACATTCTTCTTTCTGTTTGGTTTTGCAAAACGTTCTACTTTCTGTTTGCCTTTGAAAACTTTCTACTTTCTGTTTGGTTTTACAAGAATTTCTTCTGTCTGTTGGGTAGCAAAAATGGGGAACAGTTTGATGATCTTTATGTTTTAAGTATGTGATTTGGCAATAGGAGATTGATAGGGTTTAGGTAGTAAAATTACTCTATTTAGATGTTTAATATTGATTTAGATAGACAAGTTTTCATGATTGGTATTATATCGGTTTGTTCAGTTGAGAAAATAACAGTGCGAACATCCATTTCTTTAACACACCTGTGATTTTCTGCCTTGTTTATTACAATTTTTACACAGCAAATCATAGTTGATCAATGACCAATTAAGTGTTTCTGATTAAGAAAAGAAGTATGTAATTTGGGTATATTCCTAGATACATTAAACATATACCGGTACTTAAAAACAACCTTTTCAACAGATTGACTGGCAATACAAAGTAACAGCAAAGTCAGAGTTTGCAAATGTGCTAGATGGTTAAATGGAAATTCAGTCTAGTTAATGATTATTATTTATTGCTCCTTATAAATTATTTTGTATTAGGAATTTCCCCAAAATCTATCAAACATTCAATCCGTGTAAAGCCTAGTTGTATTGTTTTGCAAAAGTTTTTTCTGGTGTTTCCTCTCAGACCCCTGTCCTTCCCAAAGTGTACAAACATCTGTGGTGTCACCCTTACAAACTTTAAAATCATGATCCCACACTACTATTCAAATTGTTATTATCTAGAGCAAGATCTGTTTTACATGTTTGGCTATGGACCAAAGGTTTTTTCAATTGTTCCAATTAGAAAGGCAACCTCCTCCTCCTCAAGTGTTGTAGCAAAAATGGTTATTGTGCAAGACTTCCAAAGTGAAGGTTGCCATTTCTGGCAACTTTTTTTTTCCAGTATAGTCTAGCAAAAATAATTATTCAGACTGCCAAACTGACTTTGCCAGGCAAGGCAGCTGCCCCATGTACATGATCTGTGTAACAAAAAATGACTCGAGCCGACTTGCTGACCTAGATTTAACTGGTCATTGACCTAGTAAGGTAGGTGTTGACTGAACCCAATACCTAACCAGCACTTTAAATATTGTGCACTGCTATCAACTGATGTGACCTTTCACCTTTTTTTATTCCCATTTACTAATACAATGATAGTAACATTTCACTGTTGTACAGCGTATGTTGTTTTTCTATTAGATATATTTTTTACAATTTATTACATTTTAAAAATTATTAGTTAATTCCAAGACAGTTTACTACATTAGAATTTATTATGAACTCCTTTTTTTATTTTAAGTAGCGAGCATGTAAATTCAGTTTGTAGTACACGCATTACTGTAGCAGTTTATAAATTAGGTTTTAGTGTGTATGAACAATTTTGTATGTGTATTTTTCTCTTTGGATATTTTTTTCTAGGACTAGATGTACAATGAATCCCACACAAAGTAGCCTTTGCGGTTCTCTAATTTTTGTGATATTTTCACATTTCTTGATTGGTGTAAGAAAATTATTTCTCCTCACTAGTGAAATATCTGTTCTCGGCAAATGATTAGTAAAAATTTAATTATGACGTCAAATTTTCTTTGTTTCTTCTGAATTTCCTATTGTGACGTCATAAAAAAAGGCGACCATGCTTGATGATGTCACATATCAAGAACACAACTTTCTGCAAATCTTTGAAAAGGAAGTATAAAAATCATTAGAGAAACAGATTCCACCACCATAACTCGTGTATTACGATATTTTTCCACTCTCAACAGTTAAATTTTAATTATTTAAAAAGCTTGGCAAGCCTCACGCTTTAAATATTAAAATTTAACTGTCTCGAGTGGAGAAATATCGTAACACACTTGTTGCAGTGGTGAAATCTATATTTCTGATGTCATATTTTAGAATATTACTGTGGATTAATAATTATTTGTGGGGTTTCAATTTTCCCATATTTCGTGAGCAAAGGTAAAGTACAAATCTAAATTTTCAAGGAAGTGTAAATTTTCCAAATGGATATTGAATTAAGAACACTCAATTTTAAATTTTGTAGTCAGCGGTTATTACTTTGATACCGGTAATTATACTAGCTTTAAATGTTTGTTCTCGAATAAGAAGGGATATGATTAGGAAAAGTGGAGTTAAGATGTATATGGTTTGAAATATTATTACGAGTACGACAGAGCTTTCTTAGTTGTACCAGAAGTGGTATAAACAAGGTTGGGGTCTAAAGATTTTGTTAGGCAGAATTAAGAATTTGCAGCCTGTTGTAATTATATTGGTAATTATACCAGCTTTTATTGTATGTTCTTGTACAAAGACTGCAGTCTGCAGTAATTATGCAAACTTTAACTGTATGTTCTTGAACAACAGAGAATATGAAGTGAAAAGAGATACTGTAGTTAGAATAGCCATTGGTCAAGACTATATGAACCATGGTCAGCTACACGTACAAGATCAGGCTTTCTGTAATTATGTCAGGTTTATGTGTAAAATTTGGTTTATGGTGGTGGCATTGTTTGTGTATCTCATTTGACCTATCCCATGTATTATTGACCTTCCCCATGTTTTATTGTCCTTCTCTGATACAAAATTTTATAACTTCCATGATATATGTGTCAGAAAAAGTGTATTTCATTATTAAATTTTAAAAAAAGATATTGGTTCAGTTCATAAATAAACTATTGATTTTGTCACCTTTATCATATGAAGAGTAACTTTTTTATGGTTCTCACTTCACCAGTTTTCACACTGATTATTGAAGAATAAATAAATGTCATATGAGGTCATTCAGAATTCATTAACAGAAACATTGGTTCACACCTAGGTTATTAAAAAAAAAAATAAGTTCCATTTTGATCTAAAAACAAAGATGAGAATTGCAGATTTGCTTTAATAATGCATCGTGGCTTTATGGATATTTCTGGTAAATCGTCAGTATTATATACTCTTAGATTCAGAAAAGGTTGGGTTTTTTTTTTTTAAAGTTCCAGGTTTTCTGTAAACATTTAATCAAATGATGCCAAAAACATATAAATACAAAAGTCAGAATGTGTTGTTATTTTAATAGATAATGAAAGCAAAATTTTTTTTACATGTATTTCATATCAGTGCCATATAAGTATTTTTGCAGATTAAAATCTGAATTTGAAAAAAACTATCGATTTCTACTATTATAATTTTTCAGAAAATCAGACATGAAATAAATGCAGCAATTTTCATTCTTCCAATTTCGAATAAAATGATATAACTAAATGTTTGGTTGCCTTTATACAGAGCCAGAACATACGAGAACAGACGCTGTCACATTCACAGAGGGCGCTGATTACCATTATAGACGAGGGAATGACGTCCATCAAGAAGGCTCAATCACAGATGGATGCCGGTGCCACACTACCACAGCTTGGTGATGATGCTGTATGTATACTCTTTAATGAAAGAGACTAAACCGACTTCATTTTTTTGCGAATGATTTTTTTTTTTTGAGAAGAAATATAATGCAGATATAAACTGTCACAAATATTTGAAACATGTAAACCAAATAATTATTCACAAGTGATTTATTTGGCATCTTTTTCTAGTAGAAAAATGATGCAAATATATATTGTCAAGAATATATGAAACTTATATCTTCCCTTATGAAAATACATCAGGAAAATTAGAAAATCACACAAAACAATTGCTAGAGGTCATCTAGAAAGGTCAAAATGCAAAATAAATTATCTTGAGAAAATAACTTGGTATACAGTTTATATTTAACACTATGAACATTAATATTGTACACCTTTTACTTAGTTTTATTTTTGGTAACCCTCTTTCAAATAAGGTGATGTTGACCTACATTTCACACAAGTATGGCTTGGTACAGTTTTGCACAAGGTCAAGATAGAAACCACTACAAATCATGAGGGAATGGACTTTTGTCGGTTGATCTTTCATTTCAAGTAACAAGGATACCCGTACTATAATACGGTCACCTTGACTTTCACTAATGATTTTAGATTTAAAAAAATGAATAACCAGCAACCCAATAAGTTGTTGTAACTGACAACTCAATTTCCTTATTTAAATTTCCTTAGGTATTTCCCCAGATCTTAAAAGAAAGGTTTCGTACAACACATTGAAAAAGGGTATGGCTTTCTACAGTGATTGTACACAATCTAACAACCAATTTTGGGACATAGTTGCTGTGAGTTTTTTCTTAAAGAAAATGTTGAAAAATTAAAGTATAAGCAAATAAACTGTAAAATATATGTGTGTAACTGAAATAAAAATGATTAACAATTTATTTTTAATTTGTAAACAGGCCTCCAAGAAATGGCGTCAAAATACTTTAGATTTGTCACGACAGAAAGTGAGTGCTGAGGTATCTGCTATGAATGCAGCAACAGCACAGCTAGTAACTTTGTCAGCAGGGGACGAGGAGCCTGATCCTCAAGCAGTTAGCTCTGCTGTAGCTCAAATGTAAGTCAAACTTATGTTGGACTGGTGTAGTGATATATACATGAAATGTATAGGGTAGGATAGTATATTATGTTCTTGAAAAAGACAAATATTAAAAGACAATATATTTATCTTGAAATTGTGGAAATTAAATAACTGTTGCTAAACCATACTATAGTCTATTCATTTAATTTTGTGGAATTAATTATCGTGGATTCAGAATTAATTCATACTTGATTTCGTTGATTTAGAAAATTCTGCATATATAAAGCCTAGAGGAAATTTTTATTTCACTAAACATTGGAATTCGTGGTTCACTTATACCCACAAAATACACAATAGGTAGTACACGATGAATAATAATGAATCCACAGTATTTTAAGAGCTGCGTCAGATAGAAATCGACCTTGTGCAAGTGCACATATAAATGTACATGTATAAGACTTTGAATGATGTTTGAACATTCAAATACATAATAAAAGATGAATTTGAATCTGTTTTGTAAGGTTCTTATATCAACTCAATTTTCAAACAGTTATAGACTTTACATAGGCATTTTTCAACCCGAAATAAGTTAACAGATGTATCGATATTCATTTGCATTAGGTCGATTGCTATCTGACGCGCACTCATATGTAATGAAAGAAAATCCAATGAAATGATGTGATTATTTTCAATTTATTACATGCATTCTATACATTTGTTAGGAATCCTTAAGGGATTTAAATATTCTGTCACTTCATAGACTAGAGAAGTCAATTTTGACTAATTCTTAAAATTATACTTTTTGTTTTAGCACCTCCAACATAGGAGAGTTCTCTCACGATGTGCGTATGTTAGCAGCTCTACATGAAGACCAGAATACTGGTAACAACTTAATGAATGCAGCTAAACGTCTTGCTGGTGCTTTCTCAGATTTACTTAATGCTGCACAACCTAATGCAAGAGATGTAAGTTACAGATATGGAAATAAGTTTAATCTAATGTCCTTTATGGTCAGGAGGATGTTTCGAAAGATCCTTTGTAAAAAATACTTTAAAGGATGTTTATATTTTACTTGTAAAGACATATGTTTTTTCTTTTAATTTCAAATGCCATTAAAAATGTTTTAGAATATAGAATTGCAAATGTATGGTGAAAATTTCAAAAAATTTGTTGAGTGGGACAAATTTAAGCTAGGGGATATTTTTTTCGAATTTCTCTTAAATGTAAAAAAATAATTTCCATGGGGAAAATATTCACTTTATGTTACTTCTGGAGTGTTATGGAAACAGTGATGTAAAAAATAACTAAAAATTTTATTTTTACAGAGGCAAAATATAATAGCAGCTGCCAAGATTGTTGGTGAGGCTAGTCAGGAAGTGATGTACGGTGTTGGAGAAACAGCAGAAGACCTAGACAGAATGTACCAAGAGACTCTTCTGGCCCTGGCCAAGGCTGTGGCTGGTGCTACATCTACCCTAGTACTCAAGGCTAAGGGTGTGGCTAGTTCTACAGATGACCAGGGATTACAGAACAAAGTCATTAACTCTGCTACAAGCTGTGCTCTTGCTACGTCACAATTGGTGGCATGTACTAAGGTAATGTGTAGTTGTTGATAAAAAAATAAACACATATTTAAAGATTTAAGATACAATTAATAAGTTCTAACATACAAACATAAATTAAAATTCTGTTTTTTTTTTTACCCAGTTAGGCCAAGTAAATTTAATTAGTAGATTTTCATCCAAATTTTTGAAAAAAATGGGGTGGGTGGGAGGATTTTATTTTTTATTTTTTATTAGATATGAAACGCTCTTGTGACATGTTCTTCATATATGCAAGTGTAATAATAAGGTTCTATCATGTATATACATGTATAACGAATCAAACATACAAAGTAATGTAAAAACCAAAATTTGAAACAGGATGTTATTAATGAAACGAAATTATCGACAGTTACCGGTAACGAAAATGAACAAAATCCGGAAATCGTAAATTTTTCAAAATAAAAAAAATTGGGGCGGGGCGGGGATGAAAAGCTATCAATTAATTTTAATCGGCCTTAGTGAGAAGGTAAAGGCTGTTGACTGTTTTGTTAGTTCATTATTATGACTGTTTTGAAGGAAGGCCCATCTCTAAGTAGGTGCAACTCACAAGAGCAATGCAATTTTGTCAGTGGAGGTATATATAGGAAATTACTAAGGTTTATTTAAGCATTGGTTATCTTGATTTCCATTATGTACCTGAGAATTTTTTGTAATTTTTGCATTTAACTCCAAATGTATTTATATTTCTGTTTAAAATTTAAAATGGAATTATGGCCCTTTATAATGAAGAACCCTGCTGTTCATGGTTAAAAATAAAAAAAAAAAACACAAAAAATTGTAAGGCCCTTTTACTGACTATAAATTTCTTCCTGCAGGTGGTTGCTCCAACAATAGCTAGTCCAGCATGTCAGGAACAGTTAATAGAAGCAGCCAAACAAGTGGCCCAGTCAGTAGAGGGCATTGTTGATGCTGCTCAGCAGGCATGCCGTGATGATAGACTTCTACAGGATCTGGGTGCTGCTGCTACCATGGTAACACAGGCATTGAATGATCTGTTGCAGCATATCAAGAAAGGAGCTGGACCCACTCATGTATGTGTTATAATTTGATGATCATATCTGTCAAAATACAAGTTAATGCTTCTGCCAATTTTTCAATGGGAACTGATCTTAGATGAAATATTGACAGCATAAAATCACTAAGAAGAGATCTACTATAACAGGACTATATATCTTATAATTTGTAATAAAGAATTGATATAAGGAAAGTTCTTGCAAATCCTAGAGGATGATGAATCTTTGCAGACAATATATTTATTCTGTTATATGAAAATATAAGATGATGTGGCATGATTGCCAATGAGGTAACCTCCACCAGAAACCAAATGACATAAAAGCTAATAACTATAGTTCACGCCTTCGTTGCCATTTGTGTATTTTTTTTAATTTCTAAAAGTTATTTGCTTTATGTTAATATTTGTAGGCCCACGAGGCTCATGAAGAGGCAGTGGACACTATTTTGGCTGGAACAGACAAGATTGTTAGTTATTTTGGTGATGCTCATGAGATGGTTAAACAGGCTAGGCAGCTTGCACAGGTACTTAGTAACTGCTGGATATTCCCTGGCAAAAATAAAAATTCAATTTCATAATGTCCAACTTAAATGGAAATTTTATTTTGAATATATGAGATTATGAGCTAGGATTTTATTGTGAATTTACAAGACATTTTTTTTATTTCTCTACTTCTTATATTTTATGATCAATTGAAACACACATAAAAATAGGGAGCTACATATAGAGGCAATTTTAAAATTTCACTTACATTTTTGCTGTACAAAAAAGTATTTTGACACCCATCCACAAATGATATTCATAAGTACCTTCCCTGTGTCCAATATATGTTTTTATGGAACAGCCCTGAGCAAGTTCCTCCCTTGTTGTAGTAAATTTGTTTGCTCTAGATGAATTGATTTTGCAATGTTTGTCTATTGTAAGGATCTTCTGTGTTGAATATGAAATTTTAATTAATGAACCTTGTTTGCAGAAATTATGGAAATCTCTGTTTTATAAAATGATTTATAAGAATTTTGATTTGATGACAAATGTTGTTTGTAGGCCACCTCCATGTTGGTTAATGCTATCAAAGGTGATGCTGAAGGTCATAGTGATTCAGACATGCAGAAACGATTACTGGCAGCAGCCAAAGCCCTCGCTGATGCTACAGCTAAAATGGTGGAGGCTGCAAAGGTAGATAACCCTGTCATATTTCTGCTACTGTAAATTCTTAAATTATTGTTAAGTTTTAATTATTGGGAATAATGTGACTGGGTGGGTATCACAATAATAAGAACTCGCATTCTGAAATCTGATGAATATGTATGCAGCTTTTTCTGTAATAGCAATACATGTAATTATTCTTACATTTTGGTCTGTCATATAGAAATCATAAAAATCATTATCATAGAAAATAAAAAATGCATGCAATAATTTCTGAATTTACATTATATACATGTATTAAAAATTTTACATTGTTAAAATTATTTATTAAATTGCTTTAAAATGGGAAATTGAATTGCTACAAAAGATATTGATGTTTTCTATTGAGATCCTTACAAATTTATTTAAAATGTTAGTGTTTGAAATTTCTACATCATTGAATTAAAAATTTATTTTTAAATTGTTTCTATGAGTAATAAGCCTATCTGTATGAGGAAAATACAAATAGCATTTCATTCATTATAATTGTTTGTTGTTAGGGATGTGCCTCAAATCCTAATAATTATAATGAGTTTCATATCCTAAATGATTGTACTAAGTTAGCCTAACTATATGTTTAAATGAAACTGACAGCTCTTTCATTAATATTTTTTGTTTGTAGGGATGTGCATCAAATCCTAATGATGCTTTGCAGCAACACAGACTGAGACAAGCAGCAGAGGACCTAAGGTCTGCCACTAACATTGCTGCTAGTAATGCATTGAAAAAGAAAGTCATTAAACGTCTTGAGGTAAGTACAAAATAATAAATATATCGGTATGACATGCGTACAATAGTCAGACATGATGTTTTGTAGAGTAATTACAAAATAATAAGTGTTTCTGAATGACCTGTCAACGATAGAAGGAGCATAGTATTTTCACAGTTCATGGAACATATTTATTGATTTCTAGAACTTGAGGTTTTAATTTTCCATTTTTTCTTGTACCTGATTCCGATCTTCCTCAAGGGAGGACATTTTTTTCAATTTTATATTAATAGTGAATTAAGCCAAAATGATACTCTTGCTAAACTTCCCCAATGTACAAAACATGAAGATGATAGGATTGCTGTATGTCAGAAACACCTAAACCATAAAGACTACATGCAAATGATATTTTATGAACTGTTTTACATAAGGGGAAATGTTTATACAATTTTATCTTAATTGGGAAATAGGGGGGGGGGGGGGGGGGGGAACAGTTGCAAAAATTCTCCACTGTACAGTAAATTAACTATTCAAATCATGTTCAAAATTGAATCGAATACATAAAGATGAGATGACTGCCATGCATTAAAGTATAATTCTAATATGATGTTTTTTTTTCATTTAAGGAATGACTGTAATATTTTTTGTGTCTATGAAGAAATAACATCAAAAATATGGTGCACACTGAATAACCTGTGTAGTGGGTTATTTAAAAGTGTGCACCAAATTTTTGAGGTAATTTCGAATAGATAGAAAAAATATTACAGTCATTCTTTATAATTTAATTCTAAATTCCATTTTTAAGAGGTTAATCATGAAAAAACATTGATGACGTCACAGTCACATGACAAAATTATGTCTATGAGCTGATAGACAAAAAACTTTCAGCCAATCAGAAGACATGTTATATCCTAAATTAAATTATTACTTAGAAATCAAAGCCATGTTCTAATTGCAATGTGAGTTACAGATATAATTAGACCCCAAATATCAGTGATATTTTTGATGGTTACAGAATGCAGCCAGACAAGCAGCCTCAGCTTCCACACAGCTGGTGAATGCAGCAAAATCTGCCAATACTACCAATACAAATACATCCTCTCAACATCAACTGGACATTCAGATTAAGGTTTGTATAGTTATAATGCTATGGCCATTGTTATTGTTGGGTAATATTGGAGTCATGTACACACAAGATAATGAAATAAGGGATGGGGTAATCATAATCTGTAATAGTATTTGATTGTAATTCATTGTATTTTTAAATGCCCTTATACGGGGCGTATTATGGTTTACCGTTGTCCGTCCGTTCGTCTGTTCGTCCGTCGTCAACATGTCGGACAATAACTCGAATTGCTTTAACCAAATTGCATAAAACTGTTTTATATCTCTCAAAATAACCTCCCTTTAGTTTTTTTTTTATAAATTTGACATTGAGGAGTTATCGAACTTTATTCTTTGTGCTCATGGCGCAGCTCTTTATTCCAAGTAATCAACAGTAATCTGTAATCGTCAAAACTATGATTACATGAAATCGTATTTTACCTTAATTGTGAATAAAGTTAAAACAAATCTCTCAAAAAATTAATTATTATTAATCGATTACACAAAAATCCAAGTAATCGATAATCAATTGATTACTTTTGACAGTAATGGTGGCCATCCCTGAATGAAATAAGAAAAGAAAATTCCATGATGAAAATTAGGGATGTTTCAGTATATCAGTTAACTTTTTAGATACCATTTAGAAAGTTTTAGAATAAAAACAAAATTAATCTAAGAAATAACTTTACTTCTGTATATATTTGTACTTGTATCTTGGGGAGTTTAAATGATCATCTACAAATCATTCTTCAGGTGCCTGAATCACTATCAACACATTACCAGTTTTCTATTAAAGCCGTTTTCTATTAACATGATAAACCCTAAATTTAAGGGGTTTTCATCTATCTAAGAGGACCCTGTACTTTAGGGTTAGGGTTCAGTTTAGGGATAGAGCTAGGTTAGGGCTAATGTAAGGGTTAGGTATTGGTAAGGAATGGTTTTAGGATTATGGTTAATTAGAATAACCCTATATGGGGTTAGTGCCTTAAATTAAATGAAAGAAAGCCAAATGTGTTACCTTACAAATAAGATGTCAAGAACTCTATATTATCCATTTCACAGGAAATAAATGAAGAGTTACCTAAACTTGTACAGGCCTTCAGAGCTTCAATGTTAAACACAGACAGTGCTACTGCTCAACTGAATCTCATCAACCAGAGTAAAGATTTTATACAGGTAGGGTGGCTTTCACTTTGCTAAATTATAATTCAATATTATATTAGCTGCGTCGGATAGAAATCGACCTTATGCAAATGAATATCAATACATCTGTTATCCTTTTTCGGGTTGAAAAAATCTCTTTGGAAAGTCTGTTACTGTTTGAAAATTGAGTTGTTATAAGAACACTACAAAACAGACCAAAATTCATCTTTCATTTCGTATTTGAATGTTTCAAAATCAATCAAAATCTTATAAATGTACATACATGAGTGCGCTTGCATAAGGTCCATTTCTATCCGACGAAGCTCATATACTGTGAGTTAAGTATTATCCATGGGATACCAGTTTTCATGGATTGCCTTGATAAAGATGGACCTGTAATTCAAGTGTTCAGCGGAATGCAATATTTCTATAGACATTTATTGTGGATTCATTATTATTCGTTGGATACCAATGTTCGTGGGTTTCGTGAGTATAGGTGAACCATGAATTCAAAAGTTCAACGAATAACAAATTTTCTATAAGCTTTGCATGCAGTGATTGGCAAAACCACGAAATCAAATATCCATGAAAATGCAAGTTTTCTTCAATCCACGAAAATTGATACCCACGAAAATAAATGAATCCACAGTATGCAGAATTGGTCAAAACCATCATATCAAGTATTCAGGATACAATTTTTCCTCAATCCACAAAAAGTTGTTATAATAAAAAGAAATGAATCCACAGGAATAGAGAATGAGTTAGAGTTACATACATGTTTATACTTTTGAAAATAAGGACATTTGTTGTGATTGCTAATTAGACAATTATCCACTTTAGACCAAATGACATTGATATTAACTCACTTAATAATATTGATACATAAATTTTTCAGTGAATTCATGTCTTTCAGGAAACAAAGAAGACAAATTTTGTGAGAAAGCTATTTTTAAATTAATGCAATTTTTTTCCCCTTGAAAAAGTTACATTTGCTTTAGATATGTTAACCAATTAATTCTTTTCTTTCACAGCCTGCTAGTGCCTTAATAGCTGCATCTAATGCTGCCAATCCAACGATTGGTGACCAGGCTGCAGCCTTGAACTTGAGCCATACTGTCAAGGTCATGTCCAATGCCTTGGCTGAACTTAGGTCATCAACCTCTAAATCAGAAGAGGCGTATGGCTCTCTGGAGATAGACAGTGCCTTAGACCAGTTACAAACACTCGACTCTGAAATGATTGAAGTCAAAAGATCTGCCCAGCATGGTCAACTTAGACCTCTACCAGGAGAAACTGTAAGTCACCCTTGTCCAAGTCCCAGAGGTCCAAAATCTTTCCTTGGTTATAAACCCTGGATTGTATAATCTTCATTTTCACTTTCTTTATTTCCTTTATCAGAAAAAAACATAACAGTTAACCAAGTGGGCTGCATGTTTTTGATACTGTAAATTCAGAAATTTTTGTGATGTTTTTATTATTGCAAAAATTGTGACAAGATAGGTGTCCCAAAAATTGTGAAAAGATAGGTGTCCCAAAAATTGCATTTTCAATTTTCATAGATATAAGAAGATGTGGTTTGAGTGCCAATGAGACAACTCTCCATCCAAGTCAAAATTTATAAAAGTAAACCATTATAGGTCAAAGTACGGTCTTCAACACGGAGCCTTGGCTCACACCATTATTTGTTTGCAGCATTCCTGAAATTTCAATAATGAAACTCACATTTGTGTTGATTGTCTAACAATCGAAATAATGAATGCACACAATAATTTTTGAATTTACAGTAGTCTGTGCATATCAAAATGCCACAGACTCCTAGAGTTCCACATTTTAGGATGAAAAATGAGAATTAAAAATTGTCCCCTCTTTGTATTTTCTGAAGTTTTTCTGTAATTGTTGAAAGATAATATATATATATGTTAACTTTATTGCAGGCTGAGTCCTCAGCATCTAAACTTGGAGCTACGTCTAAGACAGTAGGATCTGCCATGGCACAGCTCTTGACTGCTGCTTCACAAGTATGTATTCTAGATCTAAATATATTACATTTCATTAAATCCCCTTTTTAAACTTGACCCATGAAGTAAAAGAAATTACATTGAAGAAGAATGACAGTCAGTTCAGAAAAGGTACTTTATTCTTAATACCAGTATTGTAGACAAAAAAAAAATAAATCAATGATAAATAATACTGCATTAAAGAGTATGTTAAATTTATTAATTAGAAACCATGAATTCTTTTGTAGGGTAATGATAACTATGTTGGAATAGCTGCGAAAGATACTGCCAATGCTTTACGTGTCCTGGCCGATGCCACCAGAGGTGTTGCAGCTACCTCAGATGACCGGGAAGTACAGGAACTTGTTGTGGATAGTGCAAGGGAGGTAATTAACCAGTCAACAAAATTACTAGAGGAGGCAAAGAGAGCCATGAATGATCCTGAAAATCCAGAGAATCAACAGAGATTAAACCAGGTAATTAAATTCTTAAAGAGATTTAGAACGATAAAATGAAAGATTTACTGCTTCTAATTTTTTTTAAAACCAGATTAAGAGTGATCCAATATTGTCATATTCTAAAAGATTATCCAGAAGGTAACGTTAACATTTTCTCAACAAAAACTCATTAAAAAATTAAGTATACTAAATTTCACATTTGTTAGAGGGGAAAAAAAATATATCTCGGCATGAAAACTGCTAATTTATGATAATATGAAACTGTTAGTCATATCATAAAAAAAAATAAAACTTTTTATAAAAACATTTAGAAAATGGGAGTTTTTCTAGGTAGGGTGCTTTATTTGGATACAAACATCTTTTCTTTTGCCAAAAAATAGTTTCTTAGATAATACAATAATCGAATTATATATTATTATAGGTTGCCAAATCGGTATCCAATGCACTGAACAACTGTGTAAACTGCTTGCCAGGACAGAGAGATATAGACAATGCTATCAGACAGATCACAGATTCTTTCCAAGCTTTGGCTGTAACACAGGTAAATATAACTGTTCCGTAGACAATATTTGTTTCCTTATTTTTATGTTTATTCTGATTGTAAGGGGGCAACGAGGATCTTTTATAGTTTACTTTCTTGGTATGTTGCTCACTGACCCATATCTCATCTTGGCAATTTTTTCTTCATGACACTTTACCCCTAAACACACAAGGTAATATAAATGTAATTAGGGTTTCTATGATAGCCAACTATAGAAATTACCAGATGACATACAGAGAAAGAACGGATATTGCTCTATCACATCACATGTGTATTAAGCAAGCATGGCAACCTCTCACTATCTGAAGTGTTGAAAAAAAATTTCATGGCATTTGTATGTTTAACTGCTTTTACCTGCGTCACTGATGATAGTTTGAAATTTTACAACTCTCATTGCACACTGAACATTTTCATCAAACTTTTATTGTCTTCTACGAAGGCAAACAATTTTATATTAGGTCTAGTGCTTGATAATGATGAGTTGAAATGTGTAAGCGATATTTACATCTGCTGTGCAGCTACTATATAAAAATAAGGAGATGTGGTATGATTGCCAATGAGACAACTATCCACCAGAGTTCAAATGAAGTGGATGTAAACTCCCTGTTTGTCAATTGTTTGATATTTTACAACACTCATTGTTCAAGGAAAATTTTTGTCTTAGTTTTCTTGGCTTCAAAAGGAATGATTTATATTTGGTCTGGACCTCTTCGTCAGATATGACTTGGTACACTTGTGACCTCAATCAATTACATGCAACCAAGCAGGTCTTGTTTTTATAATAACATGGCTTTCTGACATGTTACAATCAAGCAAGATTCATTAGTGGGCAGTAAATTACTATGACTTTACCCCTCCCCCTAAAAAAAAACCTAAACTTATATATATACTAATGATTATTTCACAGTTTCCATCAACAAATAAGAATTTCCAGGATGTACAGTTAGAAATGAACAATGTAGCTGTCAATCTGAACCAAGCCGCTAGTGACATTGTCACATCATCACGTGGTGCTCCAAAACTTCTGGCCGAGTCCACTCGCCAATATAGTGCCACCTATGAGGAATTTGTGAAAACTGGACTGACCATCGCTGGAATTACAAAAGATCATGAAACACAGAGCCAGATTGTAGGAGGATTGAGAAGTGTTTCCATGGTTTCTAGTAAACTTTTAATGGCTTCAAAACAAGTGTCTGCTGATCCTAATGCACCAAACTCCAAGAATCTCTTACAGAATGCTGCAAGGTAAATTTTTATACGTACATGTATGATCTAGTACTAAAATTGAATAACTGCTGAGGGGAGGTAACTCTAGTACTAAAATTGAGAAACTGCGAAGGGGAGGTAACTGTTGATAATTTTGTGAATGAAAAATTTATATACTGTGGATTCATTATTATTCGTGGGATACCAACTTTTCGTGGATTTCGTGGACACAGGTGAACCGCGAATTTAAATATTCTATGAATTACAAATTTTCTGTGGGCTTGTATGAAGACTTTGGCAAAACAATGAAATCAAATATCGACGAAAATGCAAGTTTTCCTCAAACCATTAAAATTGGTACATATGAAAATAAATGAACCACAGTTGTCCTCAGATAAATTTGTGCAGTTACATATTTTTATACTTGAGTAAATACTTAGGTTATGAATTAAGAGAACATTATTCATGTACAAAAAAAGAAAAATACAGCTTTCTGTCTTTGGACTTGATGTCTACAAGTTACTACATTTAAGGTGGTGTAAACATACGTTACATTAAATGTTGAATTAAGTTTAGCTATATTTTGTTTTTATTTATATTCACAGGGCAGTAACAGAAAGTATTAACCAGTTAATAAACACTTGTACAGTGTCAGCACCTGGACAGAAGGAGTGTGACAATGCTCTTAGACAAATACAGGTACTCAAATATGGATATGTCTTACTAGCCAGAGACTAAAAATGTAGAAAGAATGAAGAATTTATATATTTAAATGAAAGCCATTCAAAATTGTTTCAATACAAAAAAAAAAACTATCAAAATACAAAAATAAAATATAAAGAACAGAGAATAATGAGGTGCTAAAGTATAAAGAACAGAGAATAATGAGGTGCTAAAATATAAAAAACAGAGAATAATGAGGTGCTAAAATATAAAGAACAGAGAATAATGAGGTGCTAAAATATAAAGAAATGAGAATAATGGGCAAAAAGTATAAAGAATAGAGAAAAATGGCCTAAAAAAATTAAAGAATACAGAAATGAAGGATCCCCATCCAGACCCTTGTATTGCATGACTTGGTACAGGAACATAATTTGTTGGGATTAAATGTGTCTTTCAAAAAATACAAGAACACTAGCAAGTATAAATGATTTAAAAAGCTGAAATAAACATAAATATCTGGTACTCTTTATGTATTAATGTTCAAATCACACTTTATTTAATTTTGTTTGCAGATGATGCAGAATCTATTAGAGAGTGCTAATGAACCTGTGACAGATATGTCCTACTTTGAATGTCTAGATGCTGTCATGGAGAGGTCAAAGGTAAATCTATTTAACCTTTAACCTTTCAACTTATATAATTATGTCGCAACATACAGTTTATATATCTTCATATCCATTGGTTAACAAATACATACAGATAATGTTTGTTACAGCTGAGTCATTTCAACTGTTAACCAGTTTTATACAAGTGGTCCATTTTGTTTATATTTTACATATGATATTTACAAAATGTTTAGCTGTTGAAACTAAAATTGTGCTGTTTTCTCATTAGTACAAAACATCAAATTATCCAATTAATAATTACAGTAATTGAACACTTCTTTTAAAGACTGTTATATGTGTTTTGTGCTGAGGGACGTAAAGCAACCACTAATCAATCAATCAATCAATATTATATGTGTTCAAAACATGTAAGATATATACTTGGATAAATTGACTGCTGATTTACATAATTTTCATATGAGAGATTTTGATTCAGCTACTATCTCTTTCAATAGATTTTTTAACAATAATAGAAATACACATTTAAAAGATAATAGGTTAACAAATGAATGACCTTTGCTGTAATGAGCTGCATACTGAGATATGATTTTGGCATAATACACATTCTAACACATGAACATCATACATGTATCATTGCATACATTTTACTAATTTGAAGAAGAAGAAAAAATGGCTGAAAATAAAACACTTACTTATATCAATTAATTATCTCCCCTTTTTTGTTGTTATCCTCTGCTCTTTTGATTGCTTTCTTATTAAGGGCTTATATAGTTTTTTTTTAATAAATGTACTTTTATAATAGTCTGTGAAACCTTGTCAGCTGTATGGTCAATTTCAGATATGGCAAAATATTCTGAATTTTTAGGCTTTCTCTCGTATAATAGTCTCTATATTAACAACTGGAAATTGTTTTTCATTTCGTTGCAACATAAATGATATTTTTTGAATAAATTTCGGAAGAAGAAAAAACCAAACCAGTTCAACAAGGTTTCATTATTATTTTGATTTGACCTTCAGAGAATGTTTTCATTTGACCTTTAGATAATGTTACAATGATATTTAGCAGTAATTTGTTTTTGAGAGCATGTTAGATAATTTCTGCTTGTTAATGCTATATTTGGTTGAATGGTTTTGATGTGTACAGGTTGTTTCAGGGACATGTTTGGGTAAATTTAGTTGTTTTATGTATTTTTAACACCTTGTTCTCTCACAATTAGTTGCTTCTAGTTAAGTGTGTATCCAGACAAAAAAAAAATGGAATGGCAAGTAAGATTTGATAAATTGAGTGAAAGGGTTGGAAGGCATTTTTGTTTTACAAACATATGTTAAGTTATGAACCATGTCCTTTCTCTTCTTTAAGAAGATTTTATAAACAACCACCACCCATAATGGAAAAGTCCAACTGAACTGTGGCTGGATTATATTTTGTGGTGAAAAACTTTTAAAGTTTGGAGTGGGGTGTGTGTTTATTTTGAATGACAAAAAAAAAAAAAAATCTTAAAAGGAATTGGTCTGTTTTTATACGCCCGTTTACGGGACGTATTATGGTATACCGTTGTCCGTCTGTCCGTCCGTCCGTCTGTCCGTCCGTCGTCAACATGTCGGACATTAACTCAAAAACGCTTTAACCAATTTGCATAAAACTTTGGTGAATTGTTTATATCTATTGACGTGAGCTCCCTTTCATTTTTTATAAATTTTAGATTTTACATTTCCGAGTTATGGGGTTTTATTCATTAAAAAAAGGGGGATTTTCCAGTTTTCGGACAATAACTCGAGAATGCTTTCACCAACTTGCAAGAAATTGTGGTGAATTGTTTATATCTATTGACATGAGCTCCCTTTTGATTTTTATATATTTTAGATTTTACATTTCCGATTTACAGGGTTTTATTCATAAAAAAAAGGGGGATTTTCCAGTTTTCAGACAAAAAATCAACAATGCTTTCAGCAGTTCTTATGAAACTTTGGTGAATTGTTTACATCTATTGATGTAAGCTCGTTTAGAATTTTATAAATTTTACATTTTACATTTCTGAGTTATGGGGTTTTATTCATTAAAAAAGGAGGGATTTTCCAGTTTTTGGACAATAACTCAAAAATGCTGTCAGAAATTCTCATGAAACTATTTGAATTATTTATATCTATTGATGTAAGCTCCTTTTACATTTTCATAAATTTTTAATATGACATTGAGAATAAATTGAACTTTATTTGTTTATAGTCTGACAACAGATTTACTAAGTATTGCGCAACAGCACAGTGTATTGCACAACAGCAAGAAATCTTTAATTGAATATAAATTCAATTCATATAACCAGTTTAAAGTTTTTTGACTACATTTATTCAGAAACCTATAATATGTTAAGTATTTAATACAATCCAAATTCAGACCTGTATCAAGCTTGAATATTGTGTCCATTTTTGTCCCAACTGTTCAGGGTTGGACCTTTGCGGGCGTATCCAGCTGCGCTCAGCGAAGCAGTTTATTGATGTATTTGACCTCCTTGATTGACATTTATTGCATGACTATCTGAAATTAGAATAGAACTCGGATCCTGGATACACACTTTTATTTTCCATTGCATGTTAAAGGTTCAGGTTAATCTGTCGGCATGAAAGTCTGTTCATGTTTTTGTTTTAAGTGTTGTAGTAAATGATATATGTAAATGTCTTGTTTGGTGGAAATTTGTTTTGACATTAATCATATTATATGAATCTTAATACCAAGCATTCTTCATTGATTGAAAATTCAATTTAAAATGAACATGCCATGGTTAGTGTTTATGTGAATTAAATGGAACCTTTGTTTTCCCTTCCAAATTTTAGCAGCAATTTTCCATGTTCTTGTTCACTAACACTATGTTACCATCCCATTGTACAGTGCACTTAACAGTATTCACAAGATCATTCCAAATTAATAAGGGCTATTCCATTAATATGGATGGGGGAGGGTAGGAAGGAACACTTGTTCACTAACGCTATGTTACCATCCCATTGTATAGTGCACTAAATAGTATTCACAAGGTCATTCCAAATTGATAAGGGCTATTCCATTAATATGGATGGGGGAGGGTAGGAAGGAACACTTGTTCATGTTCACCTTGTTCACTAACACTATGTTACCATCCCATTGTATAGTGCACTTAACAGTATTCACAAGGTCATTCCAAATTAATAAGGGCTATTCCATTGATATGGATGGGGGAGGGTAGGAAGGAACACTTGTTCATGTTCACCTTGTTCACTAACACTATGTTACCATCCCATTGTATAGTGCACAGTATTCACAAGGTCATTCCAAATGAATAAGGACTATTCCATTAATATGGATGGGGGAGGGTAGGAAAGAACTTTCAAAATCCTCCCACACCTAACATACTTTATTTGAGTAATTTTTTTTTATACATTTCTGACATTCAGGCCTCGACAATAACGCTTGTCCGATTGTCCGGTACCAGAGGGAAAAAAAGTCGGACAAGTAAAAGCTATATCAAGCTTGTCCGACGGGACAAGTAAAATTATTCTGCAGAAAATAAATTTAATCCAACTTTGATGAACAAAGTAATTATAAACAAAAAACAAGAAAAGAAGATAAAAACAAGTATTAATTTGACATGTTTACTTGCAAACCTATAATTTTAAACTGGTTCTTTGTCAGGTACTTTTTAATAGGCAAAAGGCATACTATTCTCGGAAACCAGTTTTACTGATCCGAATCAGCGATGCGCTTTGTAGAAAAGGTAACTTTACAAGACAGTTCTTCACCAGCTCGGAAACGATTCGGCTCCTAAGTTTAATAGACAGTTTGGCACCGTAGGAGACATATTTAATAGATATGATTAATAGACAGTTTGGCAACGCAGGAGACAATTTGGGCCCAAGACAAATCAGTACCTGGTTTCCCACCTTATTCTGTTGCTTTATAATAAATACCATACCGGTAATTTTTTTAACAAAAATATTTTTTAAATAAAAATGAAGAAATTATTTACCATAAAATTCACAAAATCATATTTGATCATATGTAGAAAGAAACAATACTTGCAATACGGTGACCTATAGTTGTTAATTTCTGTGTCATTTGGTCTCTTGCAGAGAGTTGTCTCATTGGCAATCATACATATCTTCTTTTTTTTATTGATTGCATTTGAATAATCTTTTTTCAACTTAAACAACCAGGATACAAATCCAATGAGTGTACATTGACAGGCCTATCAGACGGTGCCTCATGTGCAGAGTCTGATGAGACTTTGGCATTGATGAAAACTAGAACTTAAGCCCTGTGACATGACTGGATTCAGTTGTTCTCGACTCATATTTTTGAAAAGTATTTTAAAAGATATAAATCAAATTCTGTTCTATTGTTTTAATTCATTTTGTTCCTTGAATCAACTTATAAGGCAAAAAAGGTTATTATTAAGAATTGTTTTGGACAAGTTACAATTTCATTCGGACAAGTAAGTTTTGGGTTGTACTTGTCCTACTGGACAAGTTGAAAAAAAAGTTATTGTAGAGGCCTGACATTGACCTCATATTGTATATTAGTTCACAATAAGATGGAGGAACTATCATTCCTTTGTTGTCTTCATGGTTAGCAAAACTGTAGTAAATTTCTTACTTTTAAATTGATACATTAAGAGTATACAACTCTGTTTATGTAGAAGCAGAGGATAAATTAATAGCTGCTAATTAGTACCTGCTTAACCATACATTTATTTGTATTGGCCACTTTAATTGTCCAGGATTACTTAACAATTATTTGAGTGATGTCTTGTTGAATACATGTTTGTTCCATTCTTGAATGCATATTATGTAGACACAAAATTATTCTATTTTTTGAATTTTCTTGAAATGATTCAGATATACTGATAAATCAGTCAAAATGAAAATGCAAAATTACATAAATGTTGTAAGAAATATTTGCAGGTTCTGCTATAAATCATTTAGAAAATAATGGATAAACATAAGATATAAAGGCACTCTTTGATAGAAATGGATTTGCTTTGGTTTTAACCAATTCAAGTAGTCTCATAAAAGTATGTTTGTAGGTTTAATATTGGATTGTATGAAAATAATGTCTTTCTGATAAAGTTATTGTTGTGTTAACACTTCTCAATATTGCATTATCAAAAAAGATCTTAATCGAAAATGTAACTAAAATTGATTTATTCAGCATTGTGCATATCAGGTATTATCAGGAGGAAACTATGAAACAAGATTCATCAATGCATGCAACAGTAGAATTAGGAGGTTTTGTTTGGTTAAAAAAACCTCTTAGAAAAAATAATTCTTTTGTAATTGGTCTAGGATCAGCCTTTTAAAGATTGAGTTTTGAAGTCTGAGGTTCCATTTTCAAAAGAAGATGGCATTTTTGTATAAACAATATTTCTGGTAGCAATATTTTTGATGACAGACAGTTCTAAAAAATACCCTGAATTTTTTATCATGTGCCTGCTACTTTAAAGTCTTAAGTAATATTTACCAACTTTTATGCATTCTATACATTTTTTTTACAGAACCTTGGCGAGTCCATGACCGGTATAACTAACCATGCTAAGAAAGGAGAGTTAGATGATTTCTGTGATTCAGTTCACAACTTTGCTGGGTCAGTTTGTGGCCTAACAGAGGCTTCATCACAGGTTAGATTTTATTATTCAGTTCACAACTTTGCTGGGTCAGTTTGTGGCCTAACAGAGGCTTCATCACAGGTTCGATTTTATTATTCAGTTCACAACTTTGCTTGGTCAGTTTGTGGCCTAATAGAGGCTTCATCACAGGTTAGATTTTATTATTCAGTTCACAACTTTGCTGGGTCAGTTTGTGGCCTAACAGAGGCTTCATCACAGGTTAGATTTTATTATTCTGTTCACAACTTTGCTGGGTCAGTTTGTGGCCTAACAGAGGCTTCATCACAGGTTAGATTTTATTATTCTGTTCATAACTTTGCTGGGTCAGTTTGTGGCCTAACAGAGGCTTCATCACAGGTTAGATTTTATTTAATAGAAAGAATAATATCATTGCTGTAAATGTAAAGTTGATAATTTCTTCGGAGATTTATTATTTTTAAAAAATAGAATATATGTAACAGGTATAACTATATATTTATTCATTAAATTGAAAATTTGACTGAACAAAATTGTTTGTGAAGCAAAAGGAATGCAATTTTAACAACAACAAAAAATTTTTTTGGTGGGGGAGAAGGTCTACCAAGTGAACCATTGTGGCAAGGTAGATGAAAACAGATAGGGAAAGGAGAATACAAAAAATGCATAAAAAAGATAACAGGATTCACCAAAAGTACTAGGAAGTACATTCAAGCACATCAATCACCAACAATCGACTCCTCCAAGAAAAAAAAAACTGAAACACAAACAAAGACAACAAGGAACGTAACACACTGTTAAGATATGAAATCATTGTTCATTTATCTACTGAAATACAATGTACGAAAGAATTTTAGAAGTCAAGGACGAAATTGGGACAACTATTTAGTATAATTCTTTCTGTATGTACTGATTGTGAAATAGTTTTGCCTTGTTTTCTTTTTACAAAGAAATATAGAATTGAATGTTTCAATGTATTTGTATTTATAGGCAGCTTATTTAGTTGGAATATCAGACAAGGCCTCAGAACCAGGACGGCCAGGATTAGTAGACCAGTCACAGTTTGCCAGGGCAAATCAGGCAATACAACTGGCCTGTCAGAACCTTGCCAATCCAGCAAGCTCTCAACAACAGGTAAACTATAGAATATATATAATTTATAAGTATTAGATAGTTCAATGAAAATGACTTAATTGTGCAAATCTGTGTATAGATGGATTTTATGACTCTGTATGCCTTTATATGTGGGGTCCATTGTTTTAATACTATATTGCTACCCATGTTTTGTCCTTCATAAAAACTGAAGATATTTTTAGCTCACCGTTCCAAAGGAACTGTGAGCTTTTGCCATCATTTGGCGTCCGTCGTCGTCCGTCTGGTGTAAACTATTTCATTCATCTTCTCCTCTGAAACTACTGAGACTGATATCTCAAAAACCAAAGCATTTAGAGCAAATCTGACATAGGGTTAAAGTTCTATCCGCGCTGAAATTTTCAGTTGAATCTGATAACCCATTGTTGGATTGCTGCCATTAAATTGGTAATTTTAAGGAAATTTTGCTGTTTTTGGTTATTATCTTGAATATTATTAATGATAAAGATAAACTGAACTGCAAAAATGTTCAGCAAGGTAAGATCTACGAATAAGTTCATATGATCAAAATTGTCAATTGACCCCTTATGGAGTTATTGCCCTTTAAGGACAATTTTACACAATTTGTTTGTCATGTTTTTTATCTTTAAAAAATCTTCTTCTCTGAAACTGCTGAACCAATTCCAACCAAACTTAAGCTGAATGATTCTAAGGGTATCTAGAATAAAGTTTGTGTTTTATTTTCTGTTTTGTAAAAAAAACCTGGCCGCCATGGCTAAAAAAAGAACGTAGGGGTAAAATGCAATTTTTGGCTTATATCTCAAAAACCAAAGCATTTAGAGCTAATCTGATGAGATGAAAAAATGTTTATTAGGCCAAGCTCTGTCTGCCCTGAAATTTTGAGATGAATCTAACAATCCATTGTTGGATTGCTGCCACTTAATTGGTAATTTTTCACAATTTGTTCATTTAGTTTGCTTACTTTAAAAAATCTTCTCCTTTGAAACCGTTGAATCAATTTCAGCCAAATTTGGGCTGAATGAGTTTCAGAGTATCTAGTATAAATTTTGTATTTTATTTTCTTGTAAGTCAAGAAACATAGCCACTAAGGGTAAATTGAAACATAGGAGTAAAATGCATTTCTTTGATTTTGAAGAAAATATAACAGATACAAAGAACATTTTGATGGAAGTTTTAAGCCATTCATTAATATATATTGAAAAGCAAATAATCATTGATGAAAGATTTAAGCAAAAAATTACAGGTGAGCGATTCAGGCTCTTGAGAGCCTCTTGTTTACTGAAACATATCATATGTGTCAGATATTTTTGTTACCATTTTCTGATCTATTTTGTTGTAAATGTCCTATAAATTATATTCAGCCATTGGGACAAAGTTTTTTTTCGTTTTGATGTATGAAGAATGAAATTATCTGTAATTATACAAATATAAGCTATATAGATTTATCATTATTTAGAAATTTTATGATGCTTATTTTTTTTTTAGAATTATTTTTTTAAATTCACTTTCAATAATTCATTTTAACAACCCAATTAATCCAGGTCTAATATGCTCCTTCATTATTCTTTTATAAGTATTACTCTTCATGGACATCTAGGTCAATGGTACGTTTCTGCATACAATATATGTATGTCTTTTAGACAATCAACTTTCTTCCATTTTAGTTTATTTTTTATCTGTTCTGCAATGTGATATTTTATTAAGAGAGTCAAAGGTCAGAAATATGCTGGAAGAATTCAAAAGATTGAATATTATCGCAACATTTTTTGTTTGTTTGTTTTTTCTTTTCTTTTTTATTGGCAAGAGTTCCTTTTGAAGCTCTCTTCATGTCTGCTATGCTTATTCTGTCAACAGAGATGGGTTGAAAAGAAAGTCTTTCCAAGATGGTTACCTGCGGCATTTTCAATAACTGTTTTCTTATAACTAAAAACTTCAAAATTAAGAAAAAGGGGACAAAGTAATTATGGATGGAACTCATCCAGGATTTTCAATGAACTTTGACTCTCACAAACATTTCCTACCTCACTATTGTCTTGTCTGCTAGTACACACGTGTAATTGTGTATTTTATTGACTCCTCTAAACATTACATATGAGTCTTCTTTAAAATCATGTATGCCATATATTCATATTTGCCTTTAATTTAATCCGAGTAATTCAGTCCCTCCCCCTAATTGATCTTTCGAACTTGCAAGCACCTGAATTCCTTACACACTAAAAAATCTTCAGGATCCCTGGATTTTGATTGGTGCCTTGTAGGAGAGGTGACCAATCAGTAGTCAGCTCAATTTTATTGAAATAGGGAAATCCTGAGCTAATTCTAAATGATTGATTGATGATTTTTCATTGGCCGTTAATGTAGCCAATAAAGAGCACTGGAATATAAGGACTGAATTATTCGGGTTAAATTTAATTATGTAAATCATATAAATCATCATTGATATTCATGTATCAAGGTATCTTCGGGAGGGGGGTATAAATAAATGAATACCCATACATGGAATAAGTACATAAGTAAACAAGAGCAAATGATTGTAAAATACTTATAGATGTACTATAGATATGTTAAACTCTCGGTCAAATGGAAAAGGGGGAGAGTTTGTGATTAGGTTAGTTTAAGGAGAACCATTAGTAGTAGGTCAATTATGTTTGGTATGCAGATGCATAAGAGGTTATTTGGCTCCACCCCCTCAGTCATGGTCTATTGACTTTGAATGTTTTGCATAGTTTACATGTTAAAAGTTTGTGATAAGTTCAGTTAAAGATGCACCAATTAAAGTTAAGTTGTTAATGTATATTTGGTATGCAGTTGTATAAGCATTTGCAAGTCTCATTTCCATGGCCCTGTCCCCTTATCATGGCTATTTTACTTTGAAACTTTTGAATAGTTTACGTTTAGGTTAGTTTGAAGGGAACCTACCACTAATGATAAGTTAATGGTATTTGGAAGTTTTATAAGCATTGGCATTTATCATTTCCCTGGAGGTTTTTGACCTTGCACCTTCATTCATGGTTTATTGACTTCGAATGTTTTTCATAGTTTTCATGCGTAAATATTGCCATTTTAATTTCAACATTTGTATTATGCTATCAAAATTACAAAAATGCAAAAAAATATCTCTGTGTTAACAGTTTCTATTTAAGAAAAGAATTGTTTTACATTTTTTACTGTAGTCATTTGTATACAAAAAAATAGTTCCCCTGTTTTATGCACAATAACCAGAAAACTCTTGTAAATCTGCAGTTAATTTTGACAGTTTTCTCCCTTAAATATTTAGTCTAAATCTTTACCTAATTCCCTTTTAAATAGGGATTTAATCGCTTAAATGTTGTAAGTAATTTTGTCATTTTCTTTTTATGAGATACTTTCTTCAATATATATTTTAAAACAAATATTGTAAATAATTTTAACTATGAAAAAGCTGTTTATGGAGTGTTTGGAATCAAGTTTGTGTCTTTTTGAATAATGTGTATGCCTTTTGAAAGAATGTTAAACACAAGTATATTTCACATGCAAGTGACTTGGTCAGCACATCATATGCCTGTGAATGTGTCATCAAAATATCTAGAAAAATAGTTCTATAAGAAATAGTTAACTATTCAGACATTATACGACACAGATGAGATGTATATTAATCAATTCGTGAATATATGAAACTTTTTGTAAAGAAATATAGGATTGTATTATAGTTGCTTTATACTGAAATATGTCTAACAACATTAATATATATTTCACAGTGTAAATAATGTAATAAAAATAATTTAAAACCATTTTTTCCTTAAAATATTTCATAATTAATTGCTTTGTCTTCTAAATTATTGGGATTTTTTTCATTGACATTAAATCATCTCTATCATTGGTAGTTTTAGTATTTAGGGGTTTTGCATTTACCATGAAATAGTTTTTCTGCAACCAGTTGTATCTGTGATCAATAGATGGCCCAATTCTAGCTTTTATGGATATGACAATGCTATTGAAAATGTAAATTGTTGATATTTTACAGCAAGTTGTTTCAATCAGCAGGAGAAATAACCTTAGATTTGGTCCTTAGGCAATATATATGTATTTGGGCTATATTTATATATATTTTGACAGATTTAACCTTCTAAAATGTTCACTTATTATTATATTTATCTTGTGAATTTTGTGACATACCAATGCAATATGCTATTTATATATTTTATTTAATTGCAATGTGCTCTTGCGGTTTATGTTATTGGAAAGACACCATAATTTCTATGGAATCATGTGACTGACTTTAGGTTAGCCAATCAAATATCAGATTGATAATATTCAAATATTATGAATGACCTATTTCAGGTTCTGTCTGCTGCTACTGTTGTTGCCAAACATACTTCATCATTGTGTAATGCCTGTCGTCTGGCATCTTCAAAAACAACCAATCCCGTTGCAAAGAGACATTTTGTGCAGAGTGCTAAAGATGTAGCCAATAGCACAGCAGCTCTTGTTAAAGCTATTAAAGCATTGGACAGTGATTTCAATGAACAAAATAGACAGAAATGTGCCGAGGCTGCTAAGCCGTTGATCAATGCTGTGGATGAGTTATCTACCTTTGCTTCCTCGCCAGAGTTTGCCAGTATGCCTGCAAAAATAAGTGCAGAGGTAAAAATTGATAAAATAGTTGAATCAAATTAAAAATAATGTTACCAAATGATGTTTGCTTTCATGAAGTTATTTTTTGTTCTGGAAATAACTTTGTTAATAAAATTGAAATATGGTGGTTGAGATGTAAAGATGGAGCAATAAAAGTCACTGGTGTTTGAGAGGATGTCGCTGTTGTTGTTATAAATTGTGTCTAATCCCGTTTGCTACTCTTGCAAATAAAATGTGTTAACTAAATTCAACACCAGGTGTAAAAAATCATGTAAATCAAAATTCACTTTTTTTCAGTAAAAATTGTAATTTATAAGGAATCCATCATAAATTCATACCATTTAAAAGTGTTATTATATTTGATGTTATTTTTTCCAGGCAAGAATTGCCCAGGAGCCAATCATCCAGGCTGGCAAGGCAATGATAGGAGGAGCTTCCAACATGGTCCAAGCAGCCAAACAATTGGCTGTCAATCCTAAAGATCCGCCCACTTACCAGATGTATTCAAGCTACTCAAAGAGTGTGTCTGATGCCATTAAGAAATTAGTAGCATCAATCAAGTATGTAGTCAGTTCTGATTGGTTGTCAGTTTGTAAGATCTGCCCACATTAGTTATACATTTTGGCTATTTTGATTTATAGGATAGGGAAATAACTTTGTAAATATACAGTTGTGGAATTCTCTTTTTTTAGAGTATTTATCCCAGAAAATAGTTCATATAAAAATAAGTAGATGTAATAAGATTGCCAATGAGACAACTATCAATCCAAGTTCAAATGAAGTGGATGTAAGCAATTATAGGCAACTGTACGGCCTTCAACAATAAGAAAAACCATATTTGCTTTATATATGTGGTAATTTATATGATCATTGTTTTTAGTAAAGAATAATAAAAAAAGGACGTATTCCAAATCTGCAGTATAATTACAATATAAATTTCAATTTTAGGGACTGTGCTCCTGGTCAGAAAGAGTGTGATGATTCATTGGACACCATTAATCAATGTGTCCGTAGTCTTGACCAGGCTTCCTTGTCTGCAATCAGTCAAAGCCTTACACCTAGAACTGAGAAAACATTAAGGGTAAGTTCATAAGCACCAGTGCTTCCAAGGTCGACCAGAATAGAAATGTGTTCATTTATTATCTTTTAAGTTCCAGTTTCTTTCAAATTTAGCATTAAAATGATAATATACACGCATTCATTAAAATATTGAGTTGAACTTTTTTTCTTTCTTTTCGGTTTGTCAAATTAAAGTTGTGTGATATGTGCCTTGAAGAAAATTCAAGTTTATTTTGTTTATACAAAAGTACTCAAAAGTCAAATAATTTATTATGTTAAAATATTTAATTTGATTTTTTTAACTTATTATTCGGTTGACCTTTTCAAGTATTTCAAACTTTTTGAACAGGGCTTCCAAGAACAGATAATAGGAAGTGCTAGGGAAATTCTGGATATGGTTGACAAAGTGAAAGTAGCTGCTAAATCTGAACCAGAAAATCTAGGTTATAGGGTAAGTTACTGTAGACGAAGTGAAAGTAGCTGCTTATTCTGAACCAGAAAATCTAGGTTATAGGGTCAGTTACTATAGACAAAGTGAAAGTAGCTGCTTATTCTGAACCAGAAAATCTATGTTATAGGGTAAGTTACTGTAGACAAAGGGAAAGTAGCTGCTTACTTTGAACCAGAAAATCTAGGTTATAGGGTCAGTAAAAGGAAATCAGATGGCGATTGATAAAGATCATGCAAAACAAGAGAAATCACTTAACCTCAATTATAGTCTAAAAGCTTGCCATAGAAATTAATGATGTCTCTTCTAAGGTCATATTAGAAAATTCCTGGATTCTCAAATGTTTAACCTGAAATTATCAAATCCTGTATGCTTGTGAAACAAAGAAAAACTTGTCTTGATAAACACCAATACAATCTGATCAAATCTATTATCAGATTTTCATCATATTTATACTGTAAAATATCAGCTGCTTGACATAATATGGAGCCATTTTTATGCCCCTTCGCTAGGCGATGGGGGCATTTAAAAGTGTAACTCTTGACTGTCTTTTTGTCCGTTCCATCTTTGTTTCTGCACTCTAACCTAGGTTTTTTCATCCAAATATTATGAAACTCATACACAATGCTGAGAACCAAAACTCGCAGACTGAGTTTTGAATATGGGCAGTGAGTCACTTACCATTCTAGAGTTATGCCATGCCACTTTATAACTTGAAGAAGTGCTAATTTTTTGGTTTCCACACTCTCAGTTTAGTTTGCTTACGTATTATAAGTGAGTTTGAGCGGGGGCATTTGTGTCCTCTGACACATTTTCTTTTATTTAAACGGTTCGAAGTGCTCACTTGACAAATGTCTTTATATTGTGACGTAAAGCTGGTTTTTTGCAGTACCAATATGAAAAAAACCTGATAACAAAACTTCTTATATTAAAGAGGGCCAGATATTTAACATTTTCCAGTTATAAACCATTAGGGCTGTGTCAAAAACATATGTGGGACTAAGGGAAGGGAAATTGGAATCTCTTCTTTGGATTGGTGTCAAATATAATGAAAATGGAAGTGAAAATCTAAATTTTTTGCTATAGATGGTTACCCCAATTTGAAAGAGCATTCCTTAGGTACCATGTATGCTTAAATGGGACAGTCCTCGGTCAGTTCTCTGTAAAATTATGTACAATGACAACTAAATCTATTACAGGTTACTATGATGGCCAGTTATTTTGAACCAGTAGCCGATGGAGCAGTGGGTGCTGCATCCCAGTCTACAACATCAAAACAACAGACACACACACTGGATCTTACCAAAACCGTCATGGAATCGGCGCTACAGTTCTTATTCGCCTGTAAAGAAGGGGGAGGTAATCCAAAAGCCACTCATACTCATGAAAATATTGAAACAGCTGCTGAGAACACGAGGGATGTGTTACAAGATCTGTTACAAGCCATGGAGGAAGCTGCTTCACAGGCAGGCATGGTCACCAGTATGATAGAGAAAATTACAAAATCTATAACTAAGGTGAGAGTTACCTCCCTTTGAAATAACCAAATCTATTAATAAGGTGAGAGTTGTTGCCCCTTACTTTGCTGATCTTATGATGTTCACATCTACTTTTGTACATGTACTAGTTAAGTACTATTACTAAACTCTCTTGAAAATGTACCAAATAATATAAGTAATTCCAAACTATTGTACTATTTTATCACCATTTTTTTTCAATACTAGAGTAACTGCTCTTTGAAATTACCAAATCTATTACTAAGGTGAGAGTTGATGCCCCTTAATTTGCTAGTCTTATGATGGTTACATCTACTTTCTTTTGAACATTACACTACAAACCAGTTAAAGTCTGAAATGGCCTATATCTGTACTCTACTGTACTGATTTTTACTCGACCAGTCTGAATTGGTCTGAATTTTACTCGACATTACTCGACCCCAGTCTTAACCATACTCGACCGTACTGATTTGTACTTGACCCTTATCTTTGCCATTGAAAATAGTCTGAACTATTACTTGACCAGTCTGAAACAGTATTAACCCATTCTCGACCTGCACTCGACCTATTTTTTCAGTCTAAACCATAATCGACCAAAGGTCTGAACAATACTCGACCAGTCTGAACCATACTTGACCAAATAACCTCTACTTTTTTTTAATTTTAGTTGTTAAAATTAATTTCTTTTTTTCTGACATGATAACAGCCACAATAAAATAAAGATATATATAAAAACATATTTTTACATCCTTACATGATTCTCAGATTTATCAAATAGAGATAGTTAAATCAAATTATCTTATATAATAATTTAATTATATTAATTTTAAGTTTTAGAGTTTTGTTAAAAAAAAAAGATTCTTTTACCTAAAAACCACACTTTTACTGAGGGTAATAAAACCTTATTAAGGTGCTTCTTGGTTGGCATGTGTTTTTTTTTTTAAACTTAATTTTTGTCGAGCCTGCGACTTTTGTCGCAGAAAGCTCGACATAGGGATAGTGATCCGGCGGCGGCGGCGTTAGCTAACTTCTTAAAAGCTTTATATTTTAGAAGGTGGAAGGTCTGGATGCTTCATACTTTGTATATGGATGCCTCATGTTACGAAGTTTCCGTCAGTCACATGTCCAATGTCCTTGACCTCATTTTCATGGTTCAGTGACTACTTGAAAAAAAAGTTAAGATTTTTTGTAATGTTAGATTCTCTCTTATTATAAGTAATAGGATAACTATATTTGGTATGTGCGTACCTTGCAAGGTCCTCATGCCCGTCAGACAGTTTTCACTTGACCTCGACCTCATTTCATGGATCAGTGAACAAGGTTAAGTTTTGGTGGTCAAGTCCATATCTCAGATACTATAAGCAATAGGTCTAGTATATTCGGTGTATGGAAGGACTGTAAGGTGTACATGTCCAACTGGCAGGTGTCATCTGACCTTGACCTCATTTTCATGGTTCAGTGGTTATAGTTAAGTTTTTGTGTTTTGGTCTGTTTTTCTTATACTGTATGCCATAGGTCTACTATATTTGGTGTATGGAAATATTTTATGATCTATTTGGCAGTCACACAGGTTTTATTTGACCTTGACCTCATTTTCAAGGTTCATTGCTCAGTGTTAAGTTTTTGTGTTTTGGTCTGTTTTTCTTAAACTATAAGCAATAGGTCAACTATATTTGTTGTATGGAAGAATTGTTAGCTGTACATGCCTGCCTAGCATGGTTCATCTGACCTTGACCTCATTTTCATGGTTCATTGGTCAATGTTTAGTTTTCTTGGTTAATGTTAAGTTTATGTGACAGTTGTAATAAAGCTTTATATTTAGGACTATCAACATAATATCAATGATTAGTAAAGAAGGCGAGACATTTCAGCGTGTGCACTCTTGTCCTAAATTCCTAAAGAAAAACTATATAGGTTTTATGGTTACATACAATAGTTATATAATTATCTTTTTAATGAGTTAACAACAGCCAAAAAATCACTGAAACTGTTTAACCTTATATTAGAAATATATCTATTCTTATCATAATTTGGGATATATATCAAAAAGGGATAAAAAAGTTAAAGAAATGAATAAAAAAAAATTTCTGAATAGTGGTAAAGTATAAAGTAATACCTCCTGCTTGGGGCAAACTCATTAAAAAGATCACACCTGGTCAGAGAGAATTAATTTCTAATTAACATTCAGTAAAAATTGCAACATCCTGTAAAACTTATATCGCAAGGCCTTTTGAATTCACTAGATAAGTAATACACGAGTTTAAGAAAAATAGGGCTTTCTTTTTACCTGTAAAACACATGTACTGAGGTAATTAAACCTTATTAAAGCTCTTCTTGTATGCCATGTCTTTAATTTTGACAAAAGTTATTTAAATTTAATTAAAATAAATTTTTTCTGCAACTTTGGAACACATTTCCTTTTTTAAATGGTTATCAAGGATCGGTCTCTAAAAACACCGCAAGGATTGCTATGGAAGTTCTATTATCATGATTATATTAAATTCTTGGTTTTACAAAACAAAGGTGTGATCTTTTAAATTTATTAAGTTGCTTTATATACTATTCTAAATATATTTGAATAAAAAAAATGTTCACTGCATTATTAACTAAACTCAACTGACACCATAAATCTATACAAGGCTTAAGTAAATGGTGAAAATTGTCCAATACCATAAAATATATCTGAAACATTCAAAAAGTTTTGAATAACATTGTAAATATTAGTCACAATTCAGTTTGAGATTATTGGATCAGCTTGTTTTATTTTTATTTTAAAGGTGATATACATATATGTAAGTGTTGATGAATTTGGTGTTGAATTTATATTATGTTTATTATAAAATTTTGGTTTCAATGCCATATTGAATACATTTTAAATTTCAAATTGTTGTTCAAATTTCTAGCCAGGGGAAATAGCTGTTAAAAACAGTTCCTAAATTGATGAAATGCAATAGATAGATACAAAAAATATGTCTAGGTTGGTTAAGACTTGGTCAAGTATGGTTCAGACTAGGTCAAGTATGGTTCAGGCTAGGTCTAGTATGGTTCAGACTAGGTCGAGTATGGTTCAGACTAGGTCGAGCATTGTTCAGACTAGGTCGAGCATGGCTCAGACGCAATTAAAATGGTTAAGTACTGGTCGAGTGTGCCACAGTCCAGTACAAGTTCAGACTGTTAAGTATGGTTCAGACTACAGTCGAGTATAATCAAGTAAATTTCAGACCAATTCAGACTGGTCGAGTAAAAATCAGTACAGTCGAGTACAAATATAGACCATTTCAGACTTTCAATGGTTTGTAGTGTTAACTAATTAATACTGTAACTTTACAGTATTGAAAATATACTTAAATAATGTAGGGCTGATGTACCGTTCCTACTCGCTTATTAGTCGGAAAATTGGGAGTAAAATTCATAATCCAGAGAGGGGGACCGACTAATAGACGAGATCTAGCGACCAGAGGAAAAATCCAAGCTTGAGAAAAGTGGTCAGGAGTGAATTTCCTGGTCAAAACTACGTTTTTGATTGCCAAACCTACACAAATCAATAAATAAAAAGTTTTTGTTGAAAATAAATTACTACAATACTGTCTTTGTGTTTTATTTGTTCTTTGGTAAACATTTTCTGCAAATTCGTGTTGAAATCCTACTGTTTCCGGTTTGTGTATTGATTTTCATGGTCACATGGTTTTCCTATAAACCCAAAAGAAGAGCCAAGAACCAAAAATGAAAAGGAGATAACAATGTACCAAATATGTGAAAGAATGTTTTCAGCGGAGTTATTGTGTCATTATTGTGATATCATGATATCAATTCAATGCTTATAAATCAAATAATTATCAAAAAATAATTTTAAGATTCATTCCCAAAATCAAAATATTATTTATTAAAGTGTCTCAGGTGAGACAAAGAGTTGTATTTACTTAGGGTGTGAAAACTATCAGTGATAGGTAAACAGATGACACTAATGAGTTGGAGTTAGTTATTTTAATATATTGATTAGCTTCACTTAATTTTTTTAATCTTTTAATCATCACAATATAATAAGAATTATGAAGTGTACATGCTCATTTAACACCGAGTTATGTATGCTGTGAAAAATATTTTCATCAAGTATTGATTGACTTTAAATTTTTCAGGTTCATATTGGTTTATATTCGCTTTTCTCAAACAATAGGTTGTTAGTCATACCCTACAAAATCATTGATGCATTACGTAAACAACACATGGCTACTCAAACATTTGAACAGTGAACAAAACAAGAGAAATGAATACATCTTTATTATTAACAGCAATATAAATTATCATGATGAGCATCAACTTAATTCAAACCAAACAAACATTAATGCAGAAATGAATATTGTTCCTGGATTTGCATTGGTTTTACTAGCGTTCAGTTACTGTCAGCTGGAAAAAAAAATGCCCAAATTTTGTCCGACTTATACGAGGGTCAAGACTAAATCCTTAGAATTTGGAGCTGAAAAGGGCACCCGACTTATAGTAGGATCGACTATTAGGCGAGTTTCTACGGTAGTACTTCCGACCTGTTGTACTAACTTGGTACATACCATAATTTTTCAATACTAGATTTGTACTACACATTTGAAGTACCAGATTTGTACATTTTGTTTTTCACAATTATACTGTGAAATTATGGTATGTTTTCAGTATGAACTACAGTACTGCAGAAGTATCTGTAAAGTTGTTTTAAGGAAATTTTATTTCGTATGTATTGGCATATTATTTGTCTTAGAAGTAACATGCAGTCAAAATGGATTTTTCTTTTTTAATGCAAAATTGTAACAAACTGAAATGAATTTACCTAATTTCAAATGAAATTTTTAAATGTAAACTGATTTTTTCTTAAGGAAATATTGCTCTAAATATAAAAAAAAAAAGAGTCAAGGCAAATAAATTGGTGATTTATTAAAATATTTCAATTTGTTAAATAAAAAAGAGGAAAGTGCTCTTGTATATAAGTTATATAAAATTTTGGATCAGAATTGATTCAGTTAAAACCTAGTTGTAGTGCTATTCAATAAACAAATTGACGACTTATCATTTCTCCATGCATTTAGATAACAGTGAGGGTGAGTTGTTTTGAAAGGACATACCTATAACCAGAAAATACACAAAGTTTTTAAATTCATTATCCTTCAGCCTAAGTTGATTTGCACTCTAACCTGATCTTATCAGTCCGGGCTATTCCATTCAAATGAATGTGTGAGGGTAGGAAGAGACTTCAAAAATCCTCTTTCAACCAGCATACTTTCTATAAGAAATTTTGCATACATTGGAGAACATACAACGGTAATTGACCTATGACGAAAGAAAAAAAAAAAAATCCCATCCTACCCTCCCACATACATTTTAATGGAATAGCCCTCACAATATCTTTCAGATTTATTAGCTACATTATTGTACATTTATGTAAGTTCCTTGCGAATCATTGATATGTCCTGGATCTTGGACCTTGGACCTTCAATATATTAAACCTGGCTTATACTTGTAAAAGTTATAAATAAGCTCACTTTTATTGTGTCATTGATAATCCTGCAGTATTCAAAGTGTAATAAAAGAATGCTTTCTGGTACATTTGGCTTATTTTGGAGGAAAAATCACATCCTTCTATTTTAAATTTGATACACATACTTTTTTTTCTATTTTCTTAATCCTATACCTTTGATTTTAAATAAATTGAATATATCATATGAATTTTTTGAGAGAGGAGAAATATCGTATTGCACACGACTCGGCTGTGGATTCTGTTTCTATATTGATTTTTAGATGAAATGTAGACAAATTTTGGTGATCTTATTCAGTAAAATGCAAAAAGATGTGTTCTTTCTGTGTGACCTCATCAGTCATTGTTGCTTTTTTAATGACGTCACAATATGAAATTCAAAGGAAGGCAAGAACATTTGACATCACAATTAAGTAAGAACCTATGAAGAACTGCGATCAAAAGAGCCACAAAATGTTTATTAAAAATTAACCAAATATTTATTTTGGAAAAGTATAGATCGGCTAAAATTTAGAGAAATGTTTTTATTGATATTTCAGACTGACCAGAAGATCCAGATCAGTGAAACAGAATCATATGTAGATTTCCAAACCAACATGGTCAGCGTGGCCAAGAAGATAGCCATGACAGCACAAGACATGGTTGGTAAATCCACCAGTAATCCAGCAGAACTTGGATCATTAGCCAATCAACTTACAAGAGATTACGACCTTCTGGCTGCCAACTCTGCAGGAGCTGCTGCCGCCTCAGCTAGTTCTGATGTAAGTGTTAAATAAATTATTTCAAAGGTTGTTAGCGAGATATTTTCATTGTTTGTTAGAAAATACATTTTATTACCAAGTTTATTTTGTATAGATGTTAAGGAGATGTTTTAAAATGTCTTTTCAGAAAGCCCCCACCATCATGTGGGTGACACATTGAAAATTTTGATAGCAATATTTCTATGCAGCATCTCTTTAAATCGGAACAACTAATCTCGCATTCAAGATTGTTGTTTAACAATGGCAATAATGAAAGGATGCAAAATAATTTAATTTACAGTATTAAAATGTTTATATTTTGATATTTCTTCAGCTTGTAACGTTTGAGAATAAAGTGAGACTGGAAACGGGGAATGTGTCAAAGAGACAAAAACCCAACAAAAAACAGAACACTACAATCAATTTGTATATAAGTATTAGTTGTTATTGATAAAATTTAATCATGGTCCATGGCACTTCTAACATGTTTATCCTTTCGTATCTAGGTGTCTAATAGAATAAGGACTACCGTGATGGATCTGGGAAAGAGTTGTATAGAACTAGTACAAGATTCTGGTAACCTACAGAGCAACCCAGGTGACACATATGCTCAAAGAGACCTGGCTGATCATGCTAGGAGTGTTAATGAAAAGGTAATAAACCTGTTTCATTTCCATGTTAATCATATGAAATTCATGAACAACTCTAATCATCACAAATTTTGTTTCAAATCCATTTTGATCTATAAAAATTGTTGTTGTATATTGTCATAGAAAACTATCATATCAATGTTATATAATTGTTGGCATTGGCTGTTGTGTATATGGTAAAATCACATAAATTTCATAAGGATAAAAACACTAGTAGATTTTTCTGAAATTTAGACAAAGTTATATATATTGGGTCAGAATTTTGATTAAAGTAATGAAATAGTCTTTCTTTTTTGTTGTTCAATATCTAAAGACTAAGCTTTTCTTAACATGACTTCAGGCTATCGTAAATTTGTTTTATCATGCAAACTGACTGACACATTTTTTTAAGTGTAACACTGGACTTTAAGCAGCCATCTAATATTGAAACGATTTTCATTGGTTTATAATGATATAAAAATACTTTGTTTTTACAGGTATCATTTGTATTGGCCTCATTACAAGCAGGATCTAGAGGTACCCAGGCCTGTATTAATGCCGCTAGTACTGTCAGTGGCATCATCGCTGACCTTGACACCACCATTATGTTTGCCACCGCTGGAACACTGAACAGAGAAGGGGAGGAAAGCTTTACTGATCATAGGTAAATGTGGTTACATCTATTTATAGAGGGCTTACAAGGGAGAATAAAGATGTCTTCATTTTACAATATTTATTTTACAGCACTGTGTGTAAGTAGCAAAGGTAGTGATTGCTAAATGCAGGTTTGACTGTATTTTTATTCAGAGCTAGTTTGCCAATGTTCTTTTTTTGCAATTTACCAAAATTGATTGATATATGATCTAAAGTCATTGGAAAAATTGATCATAACTTTTTAGTTGAAGTTTTATGAAAGCATGTCCATAAAATATATAGGACCTCATATGGTTTTATGTTAAAATAAATAAAATGCCATCTGACACTCTCAAAATTGATTTCCTGGCAGCTCTTTAAAAAAGTGAAATGTATTTCTGATATTTTAATTTTTTTTAGGGAGAATATATTGAAGACAGCTAAGGCTTTAGTTGAAGATACCAAAACATTGGTGGCAGGTGCTGCCTCCAACCAAGAACAGCTGGCAGGGGCTGCCCAACAAGCTGTCAAAACCATCACTCGATTGGCTGATGTGGTCAAATTTGGAGCATCCTCACTGGGAGCTGACCAACCAGAGGCTCAGGTAATAACAAATTATCGTTTGATGACTGATTTTTACAAATTTTCATTATATGTCAAATGCTTAATTAATGTTATCAGGTTTAATGAAATTTCCCTCTTGAATCTGACTTATTGCTTTTTATACGCCCGTTTACGGGTCGTATTATGGTATACCGATGTCCGTCTGTCCGTCCGTCCGTCATCAACATGTTGGACATTAATTCAAAAACGCTTTAACCAATATGCATGAAACTTTAGTGAATTGTTTATATCTATTGACGTGAGCTCCCTTTCATTTTTTATAAATTTCAGATTTACCATTTCTGAGTTTTGGGGTTTTATTCATTAAAAAAGGGGGGATTTTCCAGTTTTCGGACAATAACTCAAAAACAATTTCACCAATTTGCATGAAACGTTTGTGAATTGTTCATATCTATCGACGTGAGCTCCCTTTTGTTTTTTATAAATTTCGGATTTACCGTTTCCGAGTTTTGGGGTTTTATTCATTAAAAAAGGGGGGATTTTCCAGTTTTCGGACAATAACTCAAACAAAATTTCACCAATTTGCATGAAACTTTTGTGAATTGTTCATATCTATTGACGTGAGCTCCCTTTTGTTTTTTATAAATTTCTGTTTTACCGTTTCCGAGTTTTGGGGTTTTATTCATTAAAAAAGGGGTGATTTTCCAGTTTACAGACAATAACTCAAAAACGATTTCACCAATTTGCAGGAAACTTTGGTGAATTGTTTTTTTCCATTGACATGAGCTCTCTTTTGATTTTTATAAATTTCAGACTATAAGTTTCCGATTTATGGGGTTTTATTCATTACAAAAAGGGGGATTTTCCAGTTTTCGGACAATACATGTAACTCAAAAATGCTTTCAGCATTTTTTATGAAACTTTGGTAAATTGTTTATATCTCTTTTTGTAAGCTCCTTTTTGATTTTTATAAATTTTCGAGTTTATGTTTCCAAGTTATAAGATTTTATTTGTTTATAGTATGACAACAGATTTACTAAGTATTGCGCAACAGCACAGTGTATTGCACAACAGCAAGAATCTTTCATATACTGTAAATTCTGAAATTATTGCGATGTTTTTATCATTGCGAAAAATGCGACAGGGTTTTAATCGCAATAATTTAAACTCGCATTTTGAAATATCTTCTATGAATTAAACAGGATTGTTCTCAATATCGCAAAAATTAGAATCGCATTTTAGTCTAAAATGACAAAATCGCAATAATAAATGCACGCAATAATTTCTGAATTTACAGTAACCAATTTTAAGTTCTTTGACTAAATTTATTCAGAAACCTATAATATATCAAATATTTAATTTCAATCCATATTCAGACCTGTATCAAGCTTGAATATTGTGTCCATTTTTGTCCCAACTGTTCAGGGTTGGACCTCTGCGGGCGTATCCAGCTGCGCTCAGCGAAGCAGTTTATTAATAAATTTACATGGTTATATATGATTTTTTGTGTGTTTTGAAGTACAAACATACACACTGTCAATATTGACAGCTCTTACAGATTATCACAGATAAATGTCTTATGCAGCAATCTAAAAGTGATTGTTGTATGACGTCAGTAGGTCTAAATTAGAATCTAGAATGACAATAAGCTCTATTCAGAAACTAAGGAAGGTCTTTGCTATAATTTAAGTATGTAAATGTCTGACCTATCAAGGAATTTCTATCAATTGGTGTCAGAATTTGAGGTAGCGTTTTGGAAATATTAGCAAAACACTTGCATATCAAAATGTTTTAATGTCTACTTTTGGATCATTTCAGGTGTTATTAATAAATGCAGTGAAGGATGTTGCATCAGCCTTGGCTGATCTTATCAGTGCTACCAAAAATGCCTCTGGTAAAAGTGTACAAGACCCTGCTATGTTACATCTCAAAGAATCTGCTAAGGTAAATAACTTCCTTGTTTGGTTCGGGTTCAGAATGAATTTATATGTATTTGCAATTTTCAGATTTTCAAATGCATAAAAAAACAAAACCTTAAAAAAACGAGGGCATTTATGTATATTAATTTTTTTTATGATAGTTGGTGGAGGGGGTCAGCTTGAATTTACTATATTAGATCTATATATTTCATAATCAAGTAGTTAACATATTATTTGTATATTCTTATATTTCTCTGTAGTGAATGATTGTATATCTCTCTATACAATAGATAATCAAACTTTAAAGTAGGGAACTTAGATATAAGATATAAATATAAGTGCATAATTTGAAAAAAAGGCAATTTTCTTAAAGAGGCATCAGTGCTAATTATCACTGAAAATATTTATGTATTGTCTGGTTTTGTCCTTAAATGTGCAACTAAATTAAGGTTAAAGCAAAATAGTTTGTATAACTGTTCAGTTAAATCATCTGAATGAAGAAAGAAAGAAAAATCTATTGCTACTGAATTCAATAATGGAAAAATTTATGGAATCATTTGTTACTAAATTGAAAAAATTCAGCTTACATTTTCAAATGTATCCATCTTAAGTATTTTGTATATTTCTGAAATGAATATATAAAGAAAATTGACAAGGGATGGATAAAACACCATGGATTTTGTGGCACTATTTGCTGTGGTGACCCTTCATAGCAATCTGATTAAAATACAGAATCTATGTCCAAGCTTTGCTGACAAGGATCTGAAAAAACTCTATTCTACTTTCTGTTATAAAGACCTTTTTGTATTCTCTGGTTTTGTCGAATTAATACACACCTTCACAAATTTGAAGGCTGAAATTTCATTGGCTAATGTAAATATTACCAGAACAGAAAGTAGAATGAAGTGTTGTCAGATCCTGGTAAGCAAAGCTTGGACAAAGGATCTGATTTTTAATCAAATTGCCTCATGCTTGGGGCTGTTCCATTAAAATGTATGTGGGAGGGTAGGAAGGGAAGTTTAATTATTGAATGTGGGTCATGGGTCTTTTTGTCAGTATGCGTCTATTACCATTATGCAAAATTATCTAAAAAACGGTTCTTGGTTGTAGGGATATTTTGAAAGTCCTTTCCTACCCTCCCACATACATTTTAATGGAATAGCCCTTACTTTATATCTATGGAAAAACCTAGATGTATATTGGTTATATTTCAGAAAGCAGATTATGTACTGAGTCATATGCCACAGCGGTATCAAATTTCTTGTTCAAGCATGCTCTGAGTGAAAGGGCTTGCAATAATCTGATTGGTAGAAAATTGCCTTACCATATTCCATGCAGGACTAAAAAATTTCAGTGTCTATAGTGAATGTGGTTCATGTGTCATTGTTGCCATGGATGCATTTGTTAACATATACAACTTGGTTTCTCCATAGCAACCATCATGTTAAACCCCTGTTTTTAGTAGAATGGAATCCTGTTTATATAAATGTTTGTGTGCTATGCCAACTTTAAATTTTGTTATTTTCAGTGTCTGTGTTTTTAGCAAAACAATTTTTTCCAATTGTTCGTACTTGTCTTTAAAAAAATGTATTTTTTGGATGAGAAACACCTTTTTATACTTCATCAATCCAAAATGCTTCTTTCTTTTTATGAAAATTGAATAGAGTTTTAACAGACTTTGAACAAAATTTAATGGTGGTATCAGATATTTGCCCATACACATTGTATCAAGGATATACATGCAAAGCAAATTGTAATGAAATTAGTTAGTTCTTGCAAATTAACTTCACTGAAAAAATATCCAGTGTCCAAAAAACAAAGAAAATTTATTGAAATTAAATGTCTGGTTGGAAACCAAAGATTTAGTCGTATCAAGGTCATGTGTATAGTGCTAAAAACTGAGTGGCATACAGCAGTCTTTACAATATACTATTGCAGCCACAGGCCAGACTCTCACAAAAGTGATTTTTTTTGGGTAAAGATGTTGTCAGCCTATTGTCAATACATATCAGTAAATTAGTAAGCCATGGCTGGTGGGCGGGCCTGGCCTGTGGTTGAGTGAAGACTGCTACAACATTTGATACACACAATCTGCAGTGCGTGTATATCCTTTTTGAGTTTGTTACAAATATTATGAAGTGTTATCAGCAGCTTAATTAGTATGTTGTTATTACTAAGATGACTTCTAATACTATCATACTAGGAGATTGATATTGTTGTATTCTGTAGAAAGAATTTAACAATTATCGGTAAACTGGCTATTTTTTTTTCGTTTTTTTTTTTTGTCTCCTTAGCCAGTTTAATACTGAATACTGTAGTCAAAAGAACTTGGATCTTTTTTTCTTCTTCTTCTCTGAAAGACTGTAGTCATATAAAATATTTCCCTTGAATCTCTCCCTTCCAACTGAAAAATGTTTCTATTTCGTAAGTTTAACTGACTGTAATTTGTGTTTCTATTTCGTTATTTAACTGACTGTCATGTGACTAAGCTTGGGAGGGAAAATGATTCTAATTTTTTCGTATTTTTCGCAACCTTTGTATAGGTTATAAAGCATAATAAGGAGTTCTGAAACTTTGTGTCATGATTTTAAAGGAAAAGTATTAAACATATCACTGTACATGCCAATATTGTTATTTGTAGATTATATAATTTGTGGTAGAATGCTTTTGTATGGTACATATCAGTCATTAAATTCATTTTCACGATCTCTTATAATTTCTACGAAATATATTTTAAAATAGGTGAATTAAGTTCAAAATTTTTAAATTTCAAAGTTATTTTTGACTTGTTTTATTTTATTTCAAACATTGTATAAACAAATGAAAAGGTTGATTTAAAGAGTTTATCATTCGTTCATTGATAGAATATTAGGCCTCACTCAGAACTTTTAAACGGCCTGATTTAAATTGGACCAAGTGAAATATTAAATAAAACAGCTTTAGGTTGATTATAGAGGTTTGCTGATAGTCAGCACTTTTGGTCTAAGAATCCAAACAGTTATGTACCAAAAGTAGAGTAATGAGTAAAAATCGTCCTTTATTTATTTTCACTGGAGGTACAAACATTTATAAGAAAATCATTATTCATTATTGGTGATTATTTGTTGTTTTTATATTTTAGATAGTTCAGTGATGGTGCTGTGACAAAAGCATATTTTGTTTGTTCAATTTCTATTTAGCTGCCATTTTTCAGGAATGACATCAAAACAAAAAGAGCCACAAAAAATCTCTTTTTCAAAATTGAAATTGAAAATCTTGTTCTTGACTCTCTTCATTCGAAACATGAAAGCTGTTTTATTTTTCATATGAAATACCCTTTGAAAAAGAAAATTCTTGTTAAAAAAGTTTTTCAATTTTATCATTAACAGTCACATATTTAATTGACTGATAATTTCATTTATAAAGAAAATATAAAAAAAAAGGATACAAACTTTTACAAAAATAAAATAGAAATTTGACAGACAATTATTTGCTTTGTCAATTAATTGTTGTTTCGATTTCTGTAAAATAATATCATTTAATGTTTTTACATAAATGATTAAAAATATTGAGTTTGTTATTGGTTATTAAAGCCTTAATATTTTTTATTTATCTCCTCCTTGTAGATACATTTACACAGAAAAAAAATCACAGGGTTTTTTCTTTTACCCTTTTGAAATAGAAAATAACTTTCTTGTTGATTAAATATTGTATTTACAGTCTTTAGAGGATAAGGCAGGTATTTCTAGACTGGTTGTATGACATTTATATGTCAAGTGTTGGGTGCTTGAGTTCTTTCTCAGTCTTAATTAAAAAGATATCAAGATGAACTTGACCTTCAGAATGTCAAATGTAGCAACTATTTGTCAGTTTCTGAAGAAATGTCCCACTTAGTTTTTCTGTGCTTGTAATAGTTTCCGCCATGGAATTATAGAATTATGCAATACACACTATGAAAAATAACAGTCATCTACACTATAATCAAGTGAAAATATCCATTGCTTACATGTATCAAAATTACACAAGGATAAAAAAAAAAGAAGTTATGTTACCTAAATTTTTTACAGAATCTATTATGTTTATATATTCAGGTTTAAAACAAGATAGATTGTGGATTATAATAGTAATACTTGCTGTTGTCTGCTAATGAAAGGAATAGTCATATAGTATTATCATAAATTGTAAAATTATATGTCTATGTTGGTGAACAGAGTAATTTACTTTGGTGATAATTTTGTTTCCAAGGTAACCTTGTAAGGTATATATAGGTACTGAAATTAGTCGGGAAATCAAAAATATTACCAAAGTGTTTCGGCATACCCAGTTTACCCTTGTATTACTAATTTTTGGACATAAGAAAATTTTCAAAATGTGAGGATGGCCACAAATTCTATGGCCATTTTCAGTATGTTTAATTCAAGTGAAAATCTAAGATAAAATTTAAATAGATTGAAATAACCAGGGGGCACTGTAAGATGCAATTTTATACTACGAATACTTTTAAAAAAATTCAAACAATGGAGATAAAAAAAAATATTTATGTATTTAAGAAGAGTTATTTCCCTTTTTAGGTAATGGTAACAAATGTGACATCCCTGCTGAAAACAGTCAAGACAGTGGAGGATGAGGCTTCCAGAGGTACACAGGCTCTAGAGGGTACAATTGAGGCCATCAACCAAGAAATAAAGGTGAGTATTCCCCCCTTTCTAAAAGTAAAGAACAGATAAGGTTATGGAGAACACATTTTAGGCCATTACCTCAAAACTAGATAAGTTATCTCCCCTTATAAACAGGATTTTAATCAAACACATTTAAATCAAAAAGACACCTTGAAGTCACTTAACAGTCTTTAGTAATATGTTATAGTGTGTCTTTTTATGTTGTAAATGTTTCACTACTGTCTCAGGTTAGGGCGAAGGTTGACGCCTGTTAAAACGTTTAAACCCACTGCATTTTTATGCACCTGTCCTAAGTCAGTAGCCTGCTGTTCAGTGGTTGTCATTTGTTGGTGTGGTTCATAAGTGTTTCTCGTTTCTCGTTTTTCATATAGATTAGACCGTTAGTTTTCCTGTTTGAATTGTTTTACACTTGTCATTTTGGGGCCCTTTATAGTTTGCTGTTTGGTGTGAGCCAAGGCTCTGTGTTGAAGGCTGTACTTTGACCGATAATTGTTAACTTTTTACACATTGCGACTTGGATGGAGAGTTGTCTCATTGGCGCTCATACCATATCTTCTTATTTATATTTAGTAATAAACTATTAATTATACAAATGTTATAGTTCCTGCACTGTATTAAAGCTCAGGAAGGTTTAGTGGAGGTCATCACCTTATATAAATAGCCTGCCAAATGTGTACAGGTCATAAACCTGTTACTGCCGAAACCATCATGTACAAATGTGTGTTGCCCTGAAACATTCACTTAGTTAGAAATTTCTTTTTTAGAAGTGAAAATTGTAAATTATTATATATTAAAACATTTTAAAGGCATAACAATGTTTTAAAATGTATAATAATGTACTAATCCAGAAATATGAGTGTTAACCTAATAGTTTGAAATTTCTTTACATTCCAGGCTTATGATAGTACACCAGGCACAGACAAGAAAGCCTCTGCAGAAGATCTGATACGCTTGACCAAACCTATTACCATGGCAACAGCCAAAGCAGTTGCTGCTGGTAACTCCTGTAGACAGGAAGATGTCATCGTGGCAGCCAACATGGGAAGAAAAGCAGTGTTTGATTTATTAGGTGTTTGTAAGGTAGGTCATGTGCCTCATATGTAATACAATTAAGGGGTCATTCTGCTAATAGAAGGACATTTCTCGAGATATAAATCAAAACTGATACTAGCGTCTATTGCAAATGTTCATCAAGAGTTGATTTACTGATTGAAATGTTTCATTGAATGTTTTGTGTGTCCTTTTTTACCTACTTACTTAGTCTTAATTATGCCATTTTGGCACATAAAATTAGGACCATTTGCCTCTGCTCATCTCTGTATAAAAGGCACCATAGAAACATAGATGTCCTTTATACAGACTGTAAAACATTATTGACAAGGACTATATTTAATTAGGCTTTTGCTAGTCAGCTTTCATATTTTCCACATTGGTTGAACATAATACAATTGTATAGTATGCATTGGTTTTACACATGATCTTTTTTAAGGGATAAATTGTCACCATGTCTTCCAAATTTCCTTTGTTTATGACAATGTTGGAATTTTTATGCAACTGAAATCTTAGTATTATGATATTGTTTTTGTTCATAGTGAATGGACACTTGTATAATTTTGAGTTTTTATTGCAGGCTGCTGCATTAACAGCCGAGACAACAGAGACAAGACAGAGAACTGTTAGAGCAGGACATGCTGCTGCCGTAACTTATAATGAACTGTTACGGCAAGTTCACACTGTAAGTATAGGGAACCAGTCTTTTACAATGTTCAACTAATATAATTCTTATAAAAATCATACAAAGCTATACATGATTGTATATATAAAAAAAGAGAAGTTTTCATGCCCCTGCCGTCACCGGAGGGGGCAATAAGTGTTAGTTACCCTTGTCCAACCGTACGTACGTTCCAAAATTGGTTTCCATTCTCTAACTTTAGTTTGCCTCAACCAAATGTTATGAAATTTAAACACAATGCTTATTACCACAAAATACAGATCAAGTTCGAATTTGTGTGGCGTCAATTTTACCGTTCTTGGGTTATGCCCCTTATTTATGTTATATGTTAGCGGGGGCATTATCTGTGTCCCATGGACACATTTTCCATTTATTTAAAACTGCATTGTTAAATTTAAATTAAAGAGTAGATGAACACTTTAAAAATTGCTTCAAAGAAAATGTCTGAGCTACTTTCCACAATAAAGTACAATTCTAAAAAATGTTTTTCTTATACATGCTATGACACTTGTGATATGATTCTATTTAGGAAACACAACATGTTTTCTTCTGCAATTTAAATATGTACCAGATTTTGAGGAGTATTTCTTCTGACGACAGTGATATCTGAATTTTGTGTGTTTCCTTTTCAGTGTGTGCAGAAACCTACTGCGGAGGCAAAACAGAGCCTGATCAATATATCTCGACAAGTGGCTAACTCAGTCACAGAAATAGTTCACTCAGCAGAAGTTATCAAAGGTTTGTCTTATATCATACTGTTTTTACCATACCTCCTTGGGGCTGTTCCTTAGAAACATACATGGTACCTAGGGGAGGCACCTTGAAATATTTATTATTAGATACATTTTTTTGTGTGCAGTTAAAATGTAAATTTCTTAATTTGCCTCTTTGGGTGGTCTTCCCTATTTTTGAAGTGCCTTCACTGAGAACCATGTGTGTTTTAATGGTACAGCCCTTAGCTCTTCCTCAAATGTCCCTGTGTTTTATCCAGATTTAACTGTGTGAAATGGGAAGAAGTTTTTTTATTTGACCTTAGTAAAGGTTTTGGACAAAGATAATTTAGTACAAGATGTACATTATGAAAAGAATAATAAATGTAGTACAGGATATACAATATAAAAATAATTTAGGCACAAGAGATGTGTTATAAAAAAATGACTGAATAGCAAGATGTTCATCATATTTATTTCTTGAATACTTCTGATCTTATATTTTAATTTGATAAATAAGAAATATTTTAACCTTTCAGTAAAAAAATAAATCATTCCAAAACATGAATTTAAAAATTTGATACGTAGACTAAGGATATATTTAACATGGCTTTATTATATTGTTTTGTGTTGAGGAATTGTTTATTTGAATTCAGCATGAGATTGATGCTTGACGCTTCACGATTTACAATGCTTATAAGCTGCTAAAGTCTTGTAATATTGATCATGGTCATTTCATATACATCTTATTTCTGATAGGACTCTTTTTTTTTTAGCATTTATTAATAGACAGAACAGCAGACGTTAATAAAAAAATATAAAAAGCTTTAACTATTGTGTGCATTCTTTTTCTTCTTATTACAAAGTAAAGAATAGATTTCTCGACTTATTTCTGGTAGGACATATGGTTTTATTAATGGAATAAACAGCAGATCTTAATAATATAAAATTTCTCTTGCTTTTTCTTATGTTTGATTTCCTATTTTTCTTGTGGCAATGCTAAAAATGATTTCTTACTTATTTCGTTTCAAAACTCTATTTTGTATGTGATATAACAGAAATGATCAAATTAAGAAATATAGTTAATAATTTTTTTTATGGAAGCATTTTCTCCATGATTTTTAAAAATAACTAACCCCCCAAAAAAGAAGAATTAAATTCTTAATAAGATTAACAATAATTAATTAGAATGTATTAAGAGCTTATTTACATTAATTACTGCAGATTTTCCCATTGCCTCATTCTATCATTTGTGTCTTGTGTTTGACGATTTTATGTGTGCACACTTTTGTTTTGTTCTACGAGACCACATGCTTTCCTTTTGTTTTTAGTCAATAATATGTACGATAGAAGTAAAGGAGTGCCGCGAGCAGTTTTCTTGGGTAATTTTTGTTTTGCACGCAGTCATTTTACGTTGTTTTTAATACCAAAGTAGATCCTTTAGACAGCCCCCCATAAGATCAGCACGATTTGTTTTTGTTGCTGTGGTTTTATATACATTCGTCACAATTTTGATATTTTCCCGTACAAAAAGTATTTTCCTAATTGTTATGATATATTATTGTAATTCTACTTCATATTTATTTGTTAGCCTTACTCATAGGTAGGTGTAAATCCAATTCCCTTTCCCATCAAATATTGTTGACATGTTGTTATTATATTTTAATATAAATATCTTATTTATTATATAATTTATTTAGCCATTTTTTAATTTAAAAAAAAAAATAAAATATATTTGTTGTCGATTGTTTTAATGCGCTATTCTATTCTTTTAAGTTTGTAAAAATGGCCACAAGTAGCTAAATTCTGGCTTTATAAATTTGATCTCAATTGATTGGATTATCTCCCATATATTGAAGAGATGTCTTTTCTTTGTTACTGTTATGTATGTAATTTTGTAAAATTTGACGTGTTCAGGCCATTCCATTAAGCATTGTTTCTCAAGCCCCACTATCATTGAAATTATTGTGCATCTAAAATTTAAAAAGAAATTCTGATCAAAGTCTTTTATTTCAAATTTCACCACAAGTTAACATGATGTCTTTCAATGAAATAAGTAGAAATGTTGATAATTTTCAATATTTTGAGTTTTCAAAATAATGTATCACAATGTTCTTGAGAAATATTACAAAAATTGGACAGGACTCCAAAGGTGTCAACATTTTGTTTTTCCATAAGCTTTACTGTTTTTAAATGATCCATTGAGGAGACCAGAAAATGTTCACATTGAAAATAGAATAAAACAAAATAAATTTTAAAAAAACAGGTACTCGCCTGCACAATTGGTTTGAGAAACAACTTTTATTTTCGAAAGGCCTTAAGTGTAATGATTAATGATTTTACTGCTGATTGTGTTTAAAGCTTGATTTTTTGCGTTCAATGAACATTTCTTAATGGTTAAAAGAACTTCAGTTTATTTTTAACACCTTTCATTTGAACAAATATTTCATATGATCATCATTGTATATATTTTTATCATCAGGCATGTGTTTCCCAAAAAATGTTATGTCTGAAATAAGAAATGTTCAATTGTTTGTGACGTACATGTGATTTTAATCAAAAGATCTCTTGTGATTCTGAAAATTCTTTTGTCATTGAAAGAAAAACCATTTGAACAATACTTTAAGATTATATATACTATAAATGAAATTATATTGAATCTAAATATCTATGCAATATTATTATCATATTTCCTACATACAGCAAACCATATGGGTTGGTGAATTTATCACAACTAACTGTCTATTATAAAAAGCCTTATTTTTAGATGCGCTTAAGTAAATTACCATTAAGTAGAATGCAGTGGTTTCATTAAATGATGAAGGTACCAGTTTATATGGCTGTAGCAAAAGTTGCTAATTTAACAATTCAACATTTGTTGATGTCAAAAGTAATTGGAATATATATTTCATTGAGAAATTAAAATTTTTGTCATGAAATAAATCCATTAGATAATAATGAACCCACACATTCTAATTCTTTTTCAGATAGAAAGTTTTATTGCTTTTTTTTTTTAACTCTTTTTTAGAAATTAGTATGAAAAAGACTTACTATTAATTTGCCTTAGCGATCTGAAATAGTCAGTGATATGATATATATGACATGAGAGAATGGCTGTGGTCAATCTATATATAATTTGATTATTTTCCTCCACAGCCAACAATGAAATAAGATGGTCATATATCGTCCCAGGTAACCAATACGGAATGCCGATTGTTACTGGTTCCCTGTTTAGTGGTTATGGCCATGGAAAGTGATTAAATTTTTTTCTTAGATAACCTCAGACATTTTTTAATATTGTCTTCCTTAAGAAGTGAAAATATTGTCATTCTTGAATGACGGGTGAATGCCTTTCCATGGCCATGTAATGATCTTCAAAGTTTAAGGGAACCAGTCTGAATGCCAGTAGGATAGTTGAGTTCTTTCCCCTTTGATGTTGTTGATTAGTTTTGAAGAAAGTCTTAATAGGATATTAATCTAATAATACTTAAGAAGGTCAAAAATACAATTAAAAACAAAATATGATCAGTGCAACAGATCACTGAAGATCAGTTTACAGTTACTGCGGTCACTGTTGTCCTGTGTCTGTCCAACCGTAAAATGCCACAAGACCCAGTGCTTGTGACAATACAATTGCTTTTTTTTTAAGTTCAAGGTGTGAATTTCAATTTGAAAGCTGGCAAAAGATTTATTTGTTGATTATCTTCCAAACTGTTAAATACAGTGAGTCTAATGAAGAGAAGTTTGAAGCATGAATCCATTTAATGTCCTGAAGTAATTGTACTGTATGCTTTTCTTACTAACAGTTACATTAAGTGTTTCGTAATGATGTTTATTAATGCATATACGATTTAAGTCAGAATGTTAGCAGAGAGTACCTTTTACAGTTTATATCCTTTGAAGTCCTTGACCTTTGTTTTGACCTTTGATACACAGAGGAATACATTCATTGGTTGTAATCGATAAAAAAAAATTGCCTAATGCATATGCATCTGATATTAACATTGCTCAATATTTCATATTTTCGTAAAGTTGCCCTATAATTCTGCATGAGTTATTTCTGGCATCAGAAATACACAGTATGTTGTTGAATGATGTTAAACCCTACACAAAAATAAGTGTCCAATCCCATCAAAACCAACCATGGCATGCTTTATTGATTGACCATAATGTTAACAGCATGAATTTCCTCTGTAGATGTTCAATGCTACAAAGCAATGGATTCAGAAATTTATTAAATTTCATCCTCATAATTTATATTGGACAGTTTTAGCCTCCTCTTGAAAGACATCTTACCTTATTAAACAACCATTGAAAACATTTCACTTTTTATGATTAGGATTGTGGGTAATTTTGTTGTGTTTACATCATAGTGAAGATAACGTGTAGCGATTGGTTGCATATTCTTTGTTTAGGAGGTTCTTAAACTAATCTTTCCTTGTAAGCAGTGGAAAATATTTCCTAGAATGCATTAGATTGTGAAATGGTGTCCATAGTAGAAGCACATAGATGAATATTTTTTTTTTGTCTGAGCTTCAAAATGAACTTAATAGATGTTGTTATAAGATGAGAAATAATAAAATGGGCTAAGTTCTATTGAAATGTGTTCACAACGAATTCTTTAACATTCATGTAAAGGACTGGATATGTATATACACTTTGGTAATGTGATGAAAGAAGTTAGATATTAATTTAACATATCATGTATATTTTTAGGCTCTGATTGGGTCGATCCAGAAGACCCTACTGTGATAGCGGAGAATGAATTACTAGGGGCAGCTAACTCTATTGAAGCCGCTGCTAAAAAATTGGCATTACTTAAACCAAGACAGAAAGTCAGGGTAAGGTATTTAACACACCATGGATTCGTTATTGTTTTAGGGATACTAATTTTCGTGGATTTGAATACAACACAATACAAATGATCTTTAGACCTGTATGCAGAATTTGTCCAGAATTTTTAAATCGAGTATCAACAAAATATTTTTTTTCAATCCACGAAAATTTGTTTCCACTAAAAAAGAATGAATTCACAGTAATCTATACAAGGAACTTAGTTATTGTTCACTTACATCACTAACTCAATAAGTCTGTTGCTGGGGTGTTTATAATTAAGTTGACTTTAAGGTATTTTGTTATTTTGTTGGATGGATAGTTTGGCAGCCAGCATTACATGCATAATTTAATAGGACTAATGTACAAAAAACAAACACTAATCGATTTGTAGGTTAGGCCAGGTGTTTATAATGTAAAACTGGGCATACTTTTTTGGTGCAACAACAGGCCACTTTTAATACCTCTTTCTTAAGACTTTAACTCTCAATCCCCGATAACAATTTGATCAAAACAATTTTTTTTATCTTTCATCGTCGAACAGATTTGTCCCTTAAGATGGGGTTTACTCCTGGGAGGGGAAGGGTTTTAATGAAACCATTATTTAGAAATAGTTGCATTTCTATATATTCATACATGCTACAATGTCCTATAGTTGTTAACTACTACGACATTTGGTGGAGAGTTGTCTCATTGGCAACATACCACATCTTCTTATTTTTATATATTGTCTTGCGTGTTCGGTATGATGGGTAGATTATGATTGAATATGGAGAAAAATGGTTGTGCTTGTTACCTTGGTTACTTGATTTTATGATTTTGATGAGTCATGTTGGTTTAAGATTTGGTTAACTATTTAGCCATGTTGTACTGTATAAAAGTTAAGAAGAAGAGGATAATGTTTTTAAATTATTCTTGGATTAAGTCGCACTGTAGATTATGTTTGATTGTATTTCACTGTATACTACTAACATTGGTGATGGATAACTGCTAACTACTGTCAGATATGTTTGATATATTTGGTGGTAGATTATAGTCACCGAGTATCAAACATGTCATGACAGTGGCAAGCGTATAACAGCGGTGGTGGGTTGTTTGTAGTGGAGAATAGTAGTCACGTTCTGCAGAAAAGAAGGGTTGTGATTAAAGAGGGACTAATTTCTACAGAGGTGATTAGTTGTTTGTAATCAGAAAAGTCATCAACTTCTACAGAGGTGATTTGTTGTTTGCAGTCGAGAATAGTCATCAACTTTTATAGAGGTGTTGAGTTGTGATAGACGGGCCAAGTTCTACACAGGTGATGGGTTGTTTGTAGTCCGAAATAGTGGCCAACATCTACAGATGTGGTGGGTTGTGATTATAGACAGGCCAAGTTCTACAGAGCTGGTGGGTTGTTATTATAGACAGACCAAGTTCTACAGAGGTGGTGGGTTGTAATTATAGAGGGGCCAAGTTCTTCAGAGGTGATGGGTTGTTTTTGTTGAGAACAGTCGTAATCTTCTACAGAGGTGTTGGGTTTTAATTATAAATGGATATAATTAGTTTGTTCTTATTAGAAAATGTCAATAACTAAGTAGTCTGTAGTTTGAAGTTAGATGTAAATTGTCAGTGTTTTATTTTAGCTGAAATCATTGTTATTTACATGGGTAAGTGTTCACTTCAAATAATCACATCAAGCAAATTCTTAGTAAACTATTAGAAATCAGAAAAAACTATGAAAGATTTTGCTTCGAAAAGGACCTTAACTTTTTCTAGTTCATTCCTGATATCCTTTGATAATTTTCAAAACTTAAAGATTTTCTAAGTCTTCTATAAAACAGGCGTGATGTTTTTGATCGAGTTGTCAAAAATCTTCAGTGGATAACATTCAGCTTCTTGATAAGATAACATAAAATTTGACAAATGTGTCTAAATTGATTGAAAAGTAAAATAGTTTTGGTAACACTTTGTTGTGATTATTTGGGAGAAAAAAAATCTTGATGTATAAGGACCTTTCCAGCATTTTCTGGTGAACCATCATGTCCCATGCTTTTTGATATTATTTATTTTGGGTTTTTTTCCTCAGAATGTGGAAAACAGGATTTTATTCTACGCTTCCCCTTATCTTGGAGGTTATTCTTAACTCCTTTTTGTAAGTAAATATTTGAAAATTTCTGCTTCATATTTACCATATATCTTTATATATTGATTATTGAATTGTTGAGATTTTTAAATATAAGATGTTTGAATTGAAATGAACCGACAAAAAGACTCATATTTATGTCGTTTGAAGCAGGCTCAATTTGATGTAAACAGATTATTGGCAAAAATGGTTATTTTATTGACGTAAGTAAAATACCCCACCTCCAAATTAATTTTTTTAAATTCCAAGTTCTCATTGGTTTAATAGTCTTAACTAAATTAAACTAACTTATAGTCAGAATTTGGAAAAAAATCTTGCTAAATCATGTTGGTTTATAGTGTCGAAAGTCCCTGGTATCTATTCCTCAAAGGAAAAAGTTATCTGCTTTTTTTTCCTTCTATTTTTACTAAAAAAACTGTCTTTGAGATTATGAACAAGAAACAAGGTTAACATGTTCTGTTTTGTTCATTATGATTCTATCTTGTATTTTTAGGAAGCTGACATGAGTCTGAACTTTGAAGAACAGATCTTAGATGCTGCTAAATCCATTGCAGCGGCCACAGCGGCTCTTGTAAAGTCAGCATCAGCGGCACAAAAAGAATTAGTGGCACAAGGAAAGGTAAATAGTCCTTATTTTACGATATATCTGTCATAATTATTTTTTAGTTTCTTATAATTTGGTGTATTTCATCACTACAAGGCCAGTAGGTTTATCATTACAACATCTTAAAAGTGAATTTGGAAGATTCCCAGTTTTAAAGATTAGCTTACAATAAAATTTATGTTAGCACATAGAAAGATCTAAATCATGTTTCACAAGTTGTTTTGTAAAGTAGATTTGAAAAGAAGTATGTTCTTTCTAAATTTTACTTCCAACTATTTAAGTAAAAAAAAATAACGAAACAAGTTGATCATTTGTGAGCAGGGTTCCTAGAACATTTAGTTGTGTACTTCTGGTCAAAATTCTTAGAAGCATGGTGACATTATACAGCTTTTTTTTTCATACTAATGTTGTCTCTGTGTTTGACTTACACAAGAAAAAGGTACATGATGTTTGCATGTCTTAGAACAATGGTACCTTATAATTGCTCTGAAGCATGAAGATCTGAAGATTTGAGAAACAAAAGTTGCAATACCTGCTTTTACCCGTAGAATGCTTATATTTCTGTTCAACCTATTTTGGTCTGTTTTGTAAGTTTAGTAAATTTAAGAATCCAGTACCAGATAGACTATAGTACCAGACCATATCAGACATCCCAAAATTAGAAAGTTTAGAAAAAAGTGTCAGTATAGAATTCCTAATGATAGTTCAACTTTTCTATTCATTGTTTTTGTTTTAATTTGTACTAGTAACATTTAGACCCTTGATTAACTAAGAAAGGTCTATGAAAATTTATCATTTATTAACAAACCGGGTCTACCCTAACATATACATATGTTCATTCCAGTGATAGACCTGTTCTTTTAACAATAACACTGGTCATGTGACCCTCCTTCTCTAAAGTTTGAAAGCAAATCTTTAACACATTGTATGAAATAATATTTCAGCCAGTAGACCTGATGCCTGCAGCTTTACTGAAAGGCCTGTTTAGAACAGTTAAAGTTTAATGGCGATGGCCAAGGTTTCTGTGAACTACTTGTTAGTACAGATAAAAAAAAATGTTCATTTGAAGCAGTGAAAGCAGTCATCTCTGCAGAAATTATTCTATTCCACTTTTAGCGTAGTTCAAATAATGGCAATCTAATACCGTCCATTACAATTTCCTTATTATACATAAGAAATAACTTTTTGTAGACATTTCAGCTTTTACTTTTGATGTGCAAAATGATTTCTATTTGTGCACCAGCCCTTTTAGTTTAAAACTGGTTTGTATTATTGATAAGTCAAAAGACATATTTAAGTTGATTACTGTACATGATCTTTCTTCTTGTTTTATTATGAATGATTGCCTGTTAGTATATTAACTGTGATTAGAAGTTAACATTACTGCTTTTCAGATCCGTACTAGAAAAGAGGTAAAATTATAACACGCTTTGTAGTGGTGGTGTGCTTTGCAATTGTATTTTTATAAAAATGGCAGAGGGTTTATAAAAATAGCTGTGTAAATAAGGAATATTAATCAATAGAGGAAGCTAGCTTGTATCAAAGGGATTATCTCAAGATGGATGGTTTTCACCTTGATATTTTCTGGAAAATATACATTTAGATATATCCCTTCTATTAAATACTTTAAAGGAAAAAAAGTCATCTAGAATATAGGCTGAGGAATCCTGCAATGGTGTTTTCCTAAGGTCATCTCAGAATGGCAGGAAACAATTCATTGACAATTCACTTTTCATTTTGAGATAGTCCCTACTTATCTATAGGTTCATCAAGTGATTTAAAAATTTGGTTGTAGACAAGTACTTAGATTTGCAGGGACAGTCTTCACTGTTTTCTTTAAAGTAATAGTACTAAGAGTAGAGATGTGTTTTAGTCTTGCTTATGTAAAATCATTCTTCTTGCTGTTGTTTCATGATTTTCATGAGATTATACAGATACTGATTATTTAAATCTATTGCAAACCAAGTATTGTCAAGTGGAAGAAAATTCTTGGCATAAAATTGCATGAATTCACAATGATCTAAAAGCTTCCAACAATAATCTGCTTTCTCTTTTAAAATGCATACCACTTGAAAAAAAAATTGGAGGAGAAGGGGAGAGGGAAAAAGGGAAGGGGGTGTTGCAGTACCAGTGGTCAAAACCAGTTTGTGATTTAAAAAAATTCTCTTTTACATTTACAGGCAAAATGTTTGACTTCAACTTTATTTTTGCCTTTTTTACAAAAAATCAAATAAAGTAAGCTTTTCAAAATGGTCAATATATAAACTACTGTAACTGGAAATGGTAAAGATTTTAACTAGAAAATGGTCAACATTTTAGCTGAAAATTGTTAATAAGGTTTAAGTTACCCTTAAATGACAATTTGAATCCGGTTTCATATCTAGTTCAAGCTACATGGTTAAACATTATGTCTGGAAAAACTTTGGAATTAAAATTATGCTTTCTTGCTTCTTTTTTTATTATCAGAAGATTAAAAGAATGGAACATGAATTTTGTGTGTTGACTATCTGTGTTGTATCTGAACTATCTGAACATACTACAATAAGATAGATGTAGAAATTCTTATACAATGTCTTATTTGCTTGATGAAAAGCTTCATAATGGACATCCCTTCATAGGACCATATGAATATACAAAAAAAATATATTATTGTATAATATGCATGTTTATTTACCACAATATTATTGTATACAAATTTTATGTGCTCTCTTACTCTTTGTCTGTTGTATGTCTTTAATAGAATTTATATTTTGCAAAAAAACAGTTAAAACCTTAAGATCTGTGAAATTGCTTTTCCAGTAGCATTGAATCTATTACAGAAAAACTGCTCAATTGCATAACTTTATTGCATAACTTTATTGAATGACTTAACATATAATTGTTGTATGATTTGTTCTCTGTTTTCTGATTTCATCTTAACATACTTGATACCTAACATGTAAATAATCTGACAGAGTGGATTGATTAATGACAACAATAGCATGAACTTAAATAAACAACTTGAACTAAAACTTTTTTTATTTAACAAAATTTTCGTTGAGTGATCTTGCTGATTTCTTACCTGTCAATATATATAAAACAGTGTTGTTTGATGTATTGGTAAAATGCATGAAAGTAGAAGCAATATTATTAATCATTATTATTGATATTTCTAAGGTAGAAGTTACTTCCCTTTGTAGATAGAAGCTGCATACCACAAAGCCGATTTCCAGAATGATGATGGACAGTGGTCACAGGGACTTATCTCAGCAGTAAGTTCAGTATTTTCACTGCCTTTATGTAATGTAATGAAGATGTGAAAATCTTAGCATTAAGGATTGTTTATTATCAACAACCACTATAATCTTTTCTTATTTTTTTTGGGGGGGGGGGGGGGGGGTGTTTAAAGTTTTATATTGGAAAGATTTTTTAATGTATTAGTTATAGCCTTTCACTGAGCCTTAAACTACTCACGATTTTTTTTTTTTTTTTTTGAATGCTTTTTAGTAAACACTATGTTTCTTTTGCTTTCGTGAGTAATTCTAAAAGTCTAAACTATGAGTTACGCAGTTAAAATTTTTTTTTAAGGTTTTGTATTCCAAGCTAATGAGTTTCACAATATATAAACTTTATAGGAAGTTTTTCATGAATCAAAAGAAAGATAGATTATTCTAAGATGATTGCATATATACAATTTATGAAGAAAGGTTAATAAATTTCAACATGTTTTTATAGGCAAGAATGGTAGCAGGAGCAACACACAGTTTATGTGAGTCGGCTAATGCTATGGTACAAGGTAACGCTACGGAGGAGAAACTTATTGCATCAGCTAAAGAGGTAGCAGGATCAACAGCAGCATTATTGGTGGCCTGTAAGGTCAAGGCTGATCCAGGGTCAATGGCCATGCAGAGGTTACAGGTTGGTATAGTGCAAAGATATATGGCCTGATCTTATTTTGATTTTGACTTTTCCATCAAACAAAAAAATCAAACATAGATGCAAAAACAAGATAACAATGTCCTTACATTATGTGATGGAAATTAATTTTTTGGTATCAGTCAGCATAAATGCTGTGGATTCATTATTATTTGTTGGATACCAATTTTCGTGGGTTTCGTGGGTACAGGTGAACCACGAATTCAAAATTTCAACGAATTACAAATTTTCTATTGGCCTACTATGCAGAGATTGGCAAAACCATAAAATCAATTATCTGCGAAAATAGAGGAGTTTTCCTCAATCCACAAAAATTGATACCAACGAAAATAAATGATTCCACAGTAGCTTAAAAAGTATGTTGACTCAAGGATGACCTATAGTTGCTAACATCTACATCATTTGGTCTCAGTGGATAGTTTTCTTATTGACAATTATGTCACATCTCCTTATTTAATATTAACCATAGATTTTTGAATTGGTATTTGCTGCTTTTCTGCCACACCCAATTTTGGAGTAAGAGCAAAGACTGGTTGGCTCGGAGTCAGAATAGCACGTAGTATTAGGTTTATATGCCTACCTGCAGCAGACTAAGATAGACTGCCTGGTACAAAGCAAGGTGTATGTTATCATCTGAATATGTAATATTTGCCACTGGATGTTAAATAGCCATCAATCATCCAACTTATGCATATGTTTCATGTTTCCATAATTCAAACACTTTATTTAAAATGGGTCAATTCATTATGTAGAAACTATTCATGTGCAAAATTTACATTGTAAAAGGTAATGCATGCATAATATAAAATTGAATGTTGTTTGTTTTGAATTTATATGTAATGAAAGCAAGTGACCATCACAAGTTTGAAAGCTCAATGCACAATTGAATATCTGCACAAGAAATATTTTCAATTTGTAGACATTTTATCAATCTTTTTAAGACATATTTTCAATCTTATTCAGACATATTTTCAATATTGTTAGACATATTTTCAATTTTTTTTCTTGTTACTAGTCTGCTGGTAATGCGGTAAAGAGAGCTACAGATGCTTTAGTGAAGGCAGCACAACAAGCCAAAGGAATGACAGAGGAGACTGAGGATGTAAACATAGATGCCACCAGAGTGGGAGGAATAAGACAGGTTAGGACATATTATAATCTTAGGTTAAAAGGGCCAGATCATTGGAGTCTTCTTTCCGCGGAGCTCTGAGTAGTATATCCATATCATTTTCATAATCTTGCTTGGGACCAATGAGATGAAAAATCATTTTTTTGCTGGTCAGTTGCTTTTTATTCTTACGGAAATTGTTTCGACTTTTAATTGTACACAGTTGTTATGTTGGGATCTACTTTCTAGAGCTTTCAGTAGTGTATTATTTGCAAGAGTATTATGGATCTGAGCTGATTGGGTCTAAGGAGATGAAAAATAGTATTTTTGCCCGTCATTTGATTTTTTATTTGTTGTTTAATTTGGATGGATTATGTCCCTTTGATAGATTTTAAGTATAAGAGGTCTAGTGAAATAGTAAGTCCAGCAGTAAGTTGTTGAAAGTAGTCGGTTCAGCTGAGTACTCATAAAGATAAAGAGTACAACATGAAAACAGAAATTGTCTTTCAATCCTACCTGGAACTTGACACATTCAAGATAATGGACCAAACATGATCCCAAAAGTCCATTTAAATGGACCCATTATCACAATGAATGTAATGAATAAAGTCAATGCATTAATGCAAAAACAAGTTTGAGGTACTCATTTTGAATTTAGATTTCCAAAAGAATCTTACCACTTGTCATTGTTGAAGCCCGTACAGTGACCTATAATTGCTTATATCCACGTTATTTGAACTCTGATGGATAGTTGTCTCATTGGCAATCTTACCACATCTCTTTATATTCATAATGTCAGTTTTTAAATTCGTTCATTCAACGAACTGTTTTCAATTATTTAATTACCTCCCTTTTAATATAAGAAGAATAGACTTGGCTCAGAGTCTGACTAGGGTGACATTTATTCCCATGGAGTGATACCTTTTGAACTGGATCATTTAAAATCTGACTAAGCCTGAAGCTCAGGTTTCATATTGTTATGACATTAAGATATTCTCATTATGATATGTATGTAATATTTGCCACTGGACTATAAACACCAATCCATCCTTATAATATAGTTTTCAAGGATTGGGTCCCAAATATAAAAATCAGTGAAACTCTGTAGGCAAATTGAGTCATTTAAGAGGAAAACTTTAATGCTTTCACATACAAATTCTTCCTAAAATGACAATTTATTTAAAGGAATTACAAGCTCACGAAGACATGTTAATCATGGAAAGGAAACTACAGGAAGCTCGAGAACGACTGGCTAAAATTAGAAAAGCCAAATATACCAAAGAGTGTAAGATGGCATTGCTTTGTAACATCAACAGACTGTTGCTATACTCTTCACTGTTTTCCTCTTCTTTTTTTTTTTTTAGGGATAATGATAATTATTAATAATTCATATGTCTGTATTAATCTTCTCCTTCATTCACCCAACCTCTGTATTACTGTAAATTCACAAATTATTGCAAGGTTTTTATTAATGCGAATAATGCTATTGGCTGAGTATCGCAATAATAAGAACCCGCATTTTGATATTTGATACATATATCTGTATGGAGATTTTCCTGAAATCATAATAATTAATCTTGCATTTTAGTGCATTTTTCTAAAATTGCAATAATAAATGCAGGCAGTAATTTCTGAATTTACAGTAATCGTTTCATTCATTAAAACATTTCAGTTTCACTAGACTGATCACTTCAAAGCAATATTCATATCTGTATTTTCCATTCAATTCCATTCTTCTGTTATAGGTTTATTTTTAGAAATTTCAAAGGTCAAACTCATTATCCTCCTTAATAATCAAATTAACACAAGGGAAAATATTGGGGTTCTTATTAATGGACCTACAAATAAACCCCTCGCAAAATTTTCACACTTTTAAAGATCAGAGTTATACAGTGTGTTCTAAATTGATTAAAGAATCAAATGTATCATTTTGTATATTTGGAAAGTAATAACATCAACTATGGCATATTTTGGTATGAGGCACATAAGAACATACTATTTAAGTAAATTTAGACAACATTTTAACAATAAAAAGATGCATTTAGGATTTATAAAAGAGTTCTAAGAAATGATTAATTGGATATTGTGGTCTTTGTAATTAGGCCAATAAAGAAATGTGTCTTTAGGGTTTCCTTCAAGTTATTATGTGGGTAGGACAGAATTTTCTTAAGTTATAATCCAGATTATATCATATTTTTACGAAGTCCAGTTCCAGTATTTTACACACTGCTTTACCATAACTTTAGGCAATTTGTAAATGAGTGAAGTGCCAATGTTAAACAAGTTTCTGGTCATTTCTGTCGTGATTTTGATGGTTTTAAACTTACTTTTGTCACTGATTTTGTTCATACTTTGTAGATAGATGTTCACTAATGCAAAAAATCATAGACTATTACACGCTAGCTTTTAACTAGATGTGGAAAACATTATGATGCTACACAAAAATATTGCATTGATATTGCTTTGGTGAGAGAGGCAATAAACTTTATAACAACCTTGATGTGTCCACTTAGACAATAAAAATTCATCATCACAATACCATGAAAGTAAAGGCATAAGCTTCTATTCATAGGGGGTCTCATTTGGGGGAGGGTGTCTGATCCTGGATCCCGCCTATCATTGTAATAATAGCGCCTGTAATTTCATGTGACCCGCCTAACTTCGTTTCCCATTTTCAGGCAAAACAATTTGACTTTCATGTGTCATGCTTACAAAAAATCTGCCAATCCCAGATCACGCTTACACCCCAATGAGACCCACTTCATAAACAAAAATATTAGGGTTTTTGTCATGAGAAAGGTAAAACCTCAGTCAAAAAACTTGAAATATTTTTGGGTCATAAAGACTTGCTGCAAAGTGTAATAAATTAACTAGACAGTTCTTTCATATCAAATGTCTGTTTTAAATGACATGGCCGAATTGGCCCTAATCAAAAGTATTTCCAACCGTCTCTGATTTTCAGTCAAATGTTCAATCTGTATTTTAATAAAACAATGCAGTTTTGGTTTACAACATACCCTTGTGATAAGATATACAGCCAGAAAATAATAGAAAATTCAGTAGCTTTGCTTGCAATCTAAAATTTATTCAAAATGTTCTTAATAGTAGCCTAATTTTGCTTTAATAAAAAGAATCTTGCATATAATGTCATTAATTACATCACAGTCAAATAAGTCAACAAGGCTTGCCTTTTATTTAGATTTTTCTTAAAGCTTTTCTTTTGATGCAGCAGCATTTAAAAATGAAAATAATGCTTTAATAGTTTTGTGTGCCTTTAAAAGCTGTGTTTAACAATGATGTCGCATAATTTTTAATTTTTTTGTATACTACTGGGCCAAATTAGCCCCAAAATGTACCTTTTCCTTTAGAATTTTTTTTTTAGATAATTCCTCCGCAATGTTCATTTTCATTCATAATTTATATTTTAATAGGTTTTATCTGAACTTAATTTTTATTTTTATCTCAACTTGATTTGTATTTTCATAGGGTTAACCTCAACTTAACTTGTATTTTAATCTCATAGGAATTTGTATTTTGATAGGGTTAATCTGAACTTAATTTGTATTTTAATAGGGTTAATCTGAACTTAATTTGTATTTTGATAGGGTTAATCTGAACTTAATTTGTATTGTAATAGGGTTAATCTGAACTTAATTTGTATTTTGATAGGGTTAATCTGAACTTAATTTGTATTTTGATAGGGTTAATCTGAACTTAATTTGTATTTTAATAGGGTTAATCTGACTTAATTTGTATTTTAATAGGATTAATCTGAACTTAATTTGTATTTTAATAGGGTTAATCTAAACTTAATTTGTATTTTCATAGGGTTAATCTGAACTCAATTTGTATTTTCATAGGGTTAATCTGAACTCAATTTGTATTTTAATAGGGTTAATCTGACTTAATTTGTATTTTAATAGGATTAATCTGAACTTAATTTGTATTTTCATAGGGTTAATCTGAACTTAATTTGTATTTTATTAGAGTTAATCTGAACTTAATTTGTATTTTCATAGGGTTAATCTGAACTTAATTTGTATTTTCATAGGGTTAATCTGAGTTTGTGTTAGTTACATGCTTTTGATTGAATTATTTGGTTCCATAGTAAATGATATTTCTGTTGAGTTAGTCAGTTTTATCAAGAAGAAGTTACAAAATATATTACAATTATATTTTAAGAGGGAAAATGTAATCTGACTGTCATATCTATGACATCTCAATTCTTCCTATCAAATCTTTTAACAAGGACATGTCTTTTATTATTTTAGGAATATGCATGAACATCTATTTTAACAAAGATATGCATTGAAAAATTATATATAGAGAAAATCTTAACAACTTAACATTTCTCCAAGAGTAATTTTCAATTTTAAACAATATATAGAGTCATATTAAGATGCTCCAAGTGGTTGTAAGTATATTATGGAATTCATTATTTTATATATTTTGCAAACTTGTACCACTTATATGTACATTATATTCTTAAGATGTTGTTCTTAGATAATATTTAAGACAATTCTAGAAAATATCCATTGATTTATAAAAAATCATTTTTATATTACATTTATTTAATTTTATTTTAATTTTGTTTTTGTGGGAGGGGGGATGAGTTATCTGAAAGAGAGAATTACATCACATCACTGTTTGAAGTTTCTAACCAATCACAACATTTTGGTTAACACTTTACCCAGAATGCATTACATTCTGAATTGGTAAGTTGCAATCTGGTTGATATAAGTTCAAATACAGATAATCTGAAAAGTATAGAACAACAATGGAAGTTTGATAGTGAATTTAATAAATCATCTCTGACAATATAATTATACAATTTTCAAATATTTATTACAGGAATTGCAGGCACAGGAAGAAATCTTAAAGAGAGAAAAAGAACTTGAAAGAGCCAGACTGAAGCTGGCAGAAATTAGGAAAGCTCGTTACAAACCAGACGATTATGATTCATCATCATCTAACTTTTGAAAGACTAAACCATAATATCTGTGTGTTCATTGTCTAATCAAGATTTATTATTTAAAGTGTATGCATAGTCAAACCTGTATATAAAGGTCACCCTCAGAAACAGAAAAAAACTGACCTAATAAGAGCTGTGACCCTTGAATTGAGTTTCAAAATGTATATGTATTACTACAGTGGGCTAAGACAGGTTTTCACTTAATAGGGGCGACCTTTATAGCAGGTTTGACTGTATTTTGTATTGTTAAAGAAGAACAATTTTTAATAGATATTTGTAAATATACGGAAAAGAAGTGCCATGTTATTGATTGAAGTTTTTGTCCCATATTGTAGTGGATGTGCTGGTGAGGTTAAAGTTCATGCTCACAATTTTACATATCAGAATTCATCAGTGAAGTCATTGTAAGGAAATTCATTATCAAGTCAGAGAATGATTTCAAAAGTGGGCGTTGTTTATGTTCACTTTAGTTTTACTAAATAATACAAATGTTAAATAATTTTTGAAATGGTGCAAAAATATGCACACACAGTCTGTAAAATTACAATCAAACTGTAATTATCAAAATGTCTTTGACCCAGAGCTTGTGAAAAAAATATTTATCAATACTATATTAAACACCTGTTTGCAATATAAGAATACTTATAAATACTCCTTCGTAGTATAGTCCATTTCTATATGTACAAACCTTAAGCTATTTTATAATTAGCTTATGTTTGCATTTTTGCATTTTTCTTAAAATGTCTTTTTTTTTGTAATACTTGTATTTTTTTTAATGCATACAAGTATGTCTTTTAGCTTACATAGGAAATAAGTTCATGCAGTCTGTCAGCATTGTAATGATAAATATGGACTTAAGTGCTAAAAATACAGCATGTTTAATATTTAGGAAACACATAGTTTAATAACCTGTTTGCAACTTGTTGAGTGGCACATATTTAAATGTTGTAATATTATCGGAGTGTTTTTGGAGTAAATTTTAGGATATATTTTAGTCTTTTTATACATGTTTATACACATTTTATTTGTGATACAAGCTTATTTACATTTTGAAAAAATCTCTTTCTCTATGATAGATTGTCAAATTTACGTGTTGACCTTTCTTACATTAGAGGCAATTTTACTTCATAAATTTGACCTTATGAGTGTGGCATCAAAAGCTTTACAATTGCAGGCTAATTTTCAGAGAAATTATCATTTTTGTGATATTGATGTTTATTGACCTAAATAGTATACCGATAAAAGTATTTTCAAAGATTTAAGTTTGAAAATATTGAGATGTGGGGTATATTTTATTGAGACATCAAGATGAAGAGCAAAAACAAAGTTGCTCAACAATTCATTACAGTTGTGATTTCAATGATACATAGAATGTCCCTGATCAGGTAATTGCTAATGTCAGTCCCAATCAGGTGAAATTAAGTAATTAGAGTATGAGTAAAAATTACTGTCAGTACTCTGGGATAACTCTGGGATATATGCAAACAAGATGATAATGACAGTCCTTAAAGTTGAAAAGTACTTATTTTTATTTAAGAAAACCAACTTATGTTTATTAAAAGCAAGTTTATTGATATATAAGTCTTCCTTATATGCCATATATAGTTGAATTTTTTAATGCAATAAAACCTAACCACATTGTACGTAGCTATATTAATAGTCAATAGAAAAAATTAATAGTAGGTTATATTTTATATCTACCATGAAAATTCGCCTACCAAAGATTTGTTATTTTTCCATAATTTATTTCTCCTTGATAATAATGTGATGTTTAAGTATATTCAGACATCCAGCAAAAGTTTTCCTGGAATATTTCTGATAAAATTGTGGATAGAATCAGACAAAACATCAATGGTTATTTTATAACATACAAAAATGATGCACCTGTGTGCCATTCATTTCTGGTAGATGTAAATGAAAATTTACTAACTATGTAAACTTTGCCTTTCCATATTTTATTGTTGTAATATATGTAATGTGATAATGATATATAAATAATTATGTTAATATTGTATAGAATATTAAAGAAATTAATTATTATTTAATTTGTATGTATGTCACCTAGTTTTAATCCTATTAAAGCATACATTTTGGTATAGGTAAAGGAGTGTTGAAAATGTTTACCAAATTCAACCGCATTCGTGAAAAATTCAAACATTGTAAAAGTATCATATCATGTCACAGAATATAGGCCATATTTTCAATCACATTTACTTCATTTGAAAAAAATTAGGATTGAAAATCAAGGGTGGAAACTGTAAACCTTTCCCCATATCTGCGGAGGTCCATTTACTTGATCAAAAGCCTAAACTCAATGGTCCAAATCAAAAATAGGACACTATTAAAGTGCTCCTAATATTTACTCTGAATTAGTGTCCTTAATATTAAGTTGGTTTGTTGAATTTTAGGTGATTGCAGATTTAAATAAAAGCGACTTTTGTTTTGATAAATGTATAAGCTCCATTTGAAGTATTCTGTTGTAGGGTTATTTGTTATTAGATATATTGCTTTGCAAAGTTATCACGAAGTGGCCTTTATATATAGAGTTTTAGATTTTTATAAATCTGGTAGCATTCTATTTCTCATAGAAACTGTATACTATTGTATGCTAAATATCTTATTCAGAAGCAAAGTTTTATTTGTGGACATGCCCTTCGGTTATTTCTGTTTTTTTGTCCACTTTATTTATGTCAAACAACTAATTAAAAAAGCTTGTTGGTTGTGGGGGAATTTGACAGTTTTTTTCATACTCTCCCTTATCCATTCAAATGGATAGCCAGTATGGCCTAAAATTAAATATATGAGCTGCATCGGATAGAAATCAACCTAATACAAGTGCAAGTATACATGTACATTTTTTAGACTTTGATTGATTTTGAAACATTCAAATACAAAATAAAAGATTAATTTTGGTCTGCTTTGTGGATTTTTTTTTAACAGCTCAATTTTCAAACAGTTACAGACTTTCCATAGAGATTTTTTCAACCTGAAATAGGTTAACAGATGTACTGATATTCATTTGCATAAGGTCTATTTCTTTCCAAAACAGCTCATATGTTATTAATAAGGAAACTGATGGATAGAATATAAGGAATACAAAATTGTAATAAATTTACGACAAAGAGAAATCAATAAAAATATATTTGCTTTTATATATTTTGAAAATTTTTAAGTTGTTGGGAAAATTTATTTACTGCGGTAGAGGGGAGCTTGCTCGGATTTAAATACAGCATATTGTTATATAAGTGTATGGAGTGTACAGAAAATATATCCAGTGCTTCTAAATAAAATACTAGTCCATTATTGATAGAATTTTGTATATATTAGCTCTGTTGCTTAGCAACATAATATATTGAAAGATATGTTATTTACATACATTTGCACTTTTTGTTTTATAATTTATATACTGTACCAGTGGCAGATGATGTCATTAGAAGATCAGACAAAATGTCAGTCAGAATGTTGACAATTATAAATTAAAAACAAATCCACTTCATTTTAGTTCAGCATTAGTTTAGGATCAAATTTATTAGATTTTCATCAAATTAGACCCATTATCATCCCTTGGTTATTGGGACACCTGCTAATGCCTGCCTTTTCCCCTCAGATGAGATGTAGCCTGAAATTGAGAGGCAATTCAGATTTTATCCCTTTATTCCATCATTTGCTGTAGATTTTTTTCTTTGGGGCTATTAATGATTTAATTTTAAAGGAATTTGGGGGATGGGGGAATTGAAAGACACCTTATATTAATAACATTGGGGTAGTGGGATTCAAAACAGGTTTCACACAATAATACACGAAACAGGTTACATTAAATTTCTAATTAAAAAAATGCTTTATGTAATTTGAAAATACTGCTTCAGACTATGGGAAAGCTTCATTGTAATTTCTTTTTGTTTGTTTGTTTTTAATGACATCTCTGCCCAACTAATTTGCATATCATTAAAATAAAGCTTGTTTGTATTATAAATGTTGACAATAATAAATGAATTAATATTTGTATTTTTTTTGGTACTTTTTGGTTATATTCAGCCTAAAGTGATGTTGTCACCTTAAGAGTTTTATAGCTTCCATCATAAGTTATTCGATCAATTTAGTGTTATCCAGTTAAGTGTATTTTTTTTAGTGGAGTGTTTTTTATATTCTTATAATGATTTTAATAGAAAAACAAAGGATATGGGGTATCTATCCATCTATGACACAAAATCAGTACATGCACAGCAAAAAACACACAAACAGCAAAGGAACAGCGCTTTTATTGCTGTTCTTCATCTCAAAGTCACAGTGAGGCCTTCCACCTTTTTATTCAAATCGCTCCTTATATTTCTAAATATTTTAACATCCTTGGCTTTAAAGTGTTTATGTTTGAGTGTTCCTGATTTTTGGCTCACCTGGTTCAAAGGGCCAAGTGAGCTTTTCTCATCACTTGTCGTCCATTCTCCGTCATCGTTAGCTTTTACAAAAATCTTCTCCTCTGAAACTGCTTGGCCAAATTTAACCAAACTTGGCCACAATCATCATAATGGTATCTAGTTTTAAAAAAATGTGTGTGATGACCCCGCATGCCAACCAACATGGCCGACATGGCTAAAAAAAAATAGGGGTAAAATGCAAGTTTTGTCTATTATCTTGAAAACTGCTATAAGTAGAGAAAATCTGACGGGGCAAAAATGTTCAGAATAATGAGCTCTACCAAGGATTTGTATAGTAAGAAGGTCTTACTATACAAATCCGTGGCTCTACCTATTGTTCATTTACATCAAAACTGTCAGACGACTTCTTATAGGATTTATTGTCCTTAAATGACGTATTTTACCAAATTTTTCATTTTGCCTATTATCTTGAAAATTATAATAGGTGAAGAGAAACTTTAAATAGCAAAAATGATTAGCAAGACAAGATCTACAAATAATTTTACATGCTTGAAATCGTTAGACGACTCCTTATTGAGTTGTTGCCCTTTAAGGACGATTTTTATGCCCCCGCCGTAGTGGAGGGGTCATTAAGTTTACCCCTGTACGTCTGTCCGTCAGTACGTTCTTGCGTCCCGAAATTGGTTTCCATTCTCTTAACTTTAGTTTGCCTCAACCAAATGTTATGAAACTTATACACAATGCTTATTACCATAATACATAGATCAAGTTTGCATTTGGGTGGCTTCACTTTTACCTTTCTAGAGTTATGCCCTTTTACAAATGGAAAAAATGTTGAATTTTTCGTTTCCGTTCTCTAACTTAAGTTTGCCTCAACTAATGCTATGAATCTTATACATTATGCTTATTAATACAAAACACAGATCAAGTGTGAATTACGGTGGCGTCACTTTTACCTTTCTAGAGTTATGCCCCTTTACAAATGAAAAAAATGCTGAATTTTTCGTTTCCGTTCTCTTACTTAATTTTGCCTCAACCAAATGTTATGAAACTTATACACAATGCTTTTTACCACAAAACTCAGATCAAGTACGAATTTGGGTACCGTCACTTTTACCGTTCTTGAGTAATGTCCCTTTATAATGTTATATGCAAGCGGGTGCATCATCTGTGTCCCATGGACACATTCCCCATTTATTATCAATTGTTTGTGTTTAGGCTAATATCTGAAAAACTATAATCGATAGATAGAAACCTAAATAAGCAGAAATGGCCAGAAAGACAAGATCTACAATCAAGTTTAATAGTTGCAATTGTCTGACGATGCCTTATTAGAGTTATTGCTCTTTAATGACAATTTTTATCACTTTTTTGCATTTTTGCCTAATATCTGGAAAATTATAATAGATAGATAGAAATTTAAATATGCAAAAATGATCAGCAAGACAAGATCTACAACCTTAACAATGATCACCCATTTTGAGTGTTCTGCCTTATATCTTGAAAACTATTATAGATAGATAACCACTTTTTAAAGCAAAAATGATCAGCAAGACTAGATCTTCAAATAGGTCAAGATAACCGAAATCGTCAGTCGATCAACTCTATATTGGAGTTCTTACTCTTAAATGATAGATTTTTACCAATATTTTACGCTTTTGGCTAAAATCTTTAAAACTATAAAGGATAGATAGACACTTTAAGATATAAAAAAAATATCAGCAAGATAAGATCTGCAAGTAAGTAAAAATTTTGCCAAAATCGTTAGTAGACTCTTTATAAGAGTGATTGCCGTTAAATGACAGGTTTTTTTTACCCTTTTTGTGTTTTGGTCATAAACTAAAGAAGATAGAGAGAAACTTTAAACAGAAAACATGATAAGCAATACAAGATCAACAAAAATGAGATTTTTGTCATGAATTTAAATCTAGTCCACAATGTTGGAAAGTGTCCATTGTTGAAGATGCACATAGATCTAGGTGAGCGACACAGGCTCTACAGAGCCTCTAGTTAAACTTACATGTATACCTCGAATGAATTTGACATAAGCGGTCATATCAGTACCAGAATCTATGACAAACGAGACGATTTTAATTTTGAAATATAAATTCCCCCCACCTTAGCAGCAATATATCAACTTCACCTGCATATTGGATATACATTTCATAGCTCATTCGGTATTCAAGAGCTTGCAGCTGGTGGAATATTACTATTTTCTTGTAGACCAAAGGCAAGACCTTCTCTGGCTTTAGCACATTGTATAGACTTGTTATGTAGACGATATAGAAATGAGTATTTCAGTGACTTTACTGACACAATATCAGCTGCTTTGAAGGATTTAAGGGAAACGATGGACACTAGATTGGCTTTAGCTAAATCCAGAGAAGGTCTTCCCTATGGCCTACAAAATTTTTTTGCTGAATTAATCTTTCGTGTAGACCGGACGTTTATAACAAAGCAATTTACCAGCAGCTGCAGGAAATGTAAGTAGTAAAAGAATTAACAGTACGTGAAAATGTGATAACTGAAACTCTTAGAGTTCTTCGATGCCAAATTGGCGGTTGTAATAGAGCAAATAAAACAAACATTAGGCAATGCCAAAGAAATTATAGGAATAGCAAGCAAAAGTGCAAGAAAAGATCGCAAGGAACTTCATATAAGATTCATTGAAATGAAGGATGACCAAGAGAAAAGACTCTTGGAATTTGCAACCGACATACGATCTCGTAAATCAGAGTCCAAGTGGAAAAAGTGTCCCAGCAAAAAGAACTTTAGCAGGAGAAGCAGACCATACTAGGGGGGGGGGGGGAGGGGGGGGGGGGGTGGTGGTTATGGCTCTAATGTTTAAGGAATAAGGGGAAAAAAGGTTAAAAAACAAGGGTTTCCATTTTAATAGACAAATAATTGAGTAAAGAACATTATTTAAAAGCAGTGTAAGGTTGGTAATTCAAACTCATTTAAATATCTCATCTACACTGCTTTTAAATTATGTAAATTGGAAATTTGCCAATAACTTTATTGTTAATAAATGCATTGGAAATTTGCCAACAATTTTAGTGTAATAAACTTCATTGGAAATTTGCCAATATAAAATTTTGCTGATGAAGGTTTTTTGTTTACCTTTAGCCTTGACTATGAAGTCATTTTCTATTTTTATAGCCTTATGATGTAGTTGAATTCTTTAATACTTTTATGATGTGTTTAAATGGGGTTTTATCATGTTTATGGTTGCAAATTTATTGTTTTAGTATAACAAACTCCATTTAAAATTTGCCAATAAAAAAAATTTTTGTTTATTTTTAGCTATGATTATGATGTCATTTTCTATTTTACTTTTATGGTTGCAAAGAAATTTTTATTTTTAGATATTACTGTTAAATGATGCTGATTAAGGTTTTTGCTATGTTTAGCCATGACTATGATGTCATTTTCTATTTTAATATCTGTTATGATGTATTTAAATGGGCTTTTATGGTTACAAAGGAATTTTATTTTTAGATATTACTATAAAATGTTGCTGATGCTGATTAAGGATTTTGTTTATTTTTAGCCATGACTATGATGTCATTTTCTATTTTAATACCTTTATGATGTAATTTCCATTTTTAGATATTACTGTTAAATGATGCTGATTAAGGGTTTTTTGCTATGTTTAGCCATGACTATGATGTCATTTTCTATTTTAATATCTTTATGATGTATTTAAATGGGCTTTTATGGTTACAAAGGAATTTTATTTTTAGATATTACTTTAAATGTTGCTGATTAAGGATTTTTGTTTATTTTTAGCCATGACTATGATGTCACTTTCTATTTTAATACCTTTATGATGTATTTAAATGGGCTCCCATGTATTTAGATTTTAGATTATTTATACATGTTACCAAATTGGTCCACATTGAACAAAAACGGTCCAAATTTCAACTTTATTACATTACATCAAACATTGAATTCTACATATTCTTTGATATATTGAAATTAACAAACAATTTAGTTTATGGATATTCCACCATAATAGGTAAATTAAATTTTTTCCAGTTCTTACACCACATTCATCCTGTGTCAGAAACCTATGCTGTGTCAAATATTTAATGACAATCCAAAGTCATAGCTGTATCAAGCTTGAATTTTGTGTCCATACTTGCCCCAACTGTTCAGGGTTCGACCTCTGCGGTCGTATCAAGCTGCGCCCCAGCGAAGCATTTTATTGCCTATTATCTTGAAAATTATAATAGGTGAAGAGAAACTTTAAATAGCAAAAATGATTAGCAAGACAAGATCTACAAATAATTTTACATGCTTGAAATCGTTAGACGACTCCTTATTGAGTTGTTGCCCTTTAAGGACGATTTTTATGCCCCCCGCCATAGCGGAGGGGTCATTAAGTTTACGTCTGTCCGTCAGTACGTTCTTGCGTCCCGAAATTGGTTTCCATTCTCTAACTTTATTTTGCCTCAACCAAATGTTATGAAACTTATACACAATGCTTATTACCATAATACACAGATCAAGTTTGCATTTGGGTGGCTCCACTTTTACCTTTCTAGAGTTATGCCCCTTTACAAATGGAAAAATTGTTGAATTTTTCGTTTCCGTTCTCTAACTTAAGTTTGCCTCAACTAATGCTAT